ATATTGCATGGACAGATCAAATGATTCCTCTCCTTCTGGGCTAGCCTAACAAAATGAGAAATGTGCTAGAGGAACTCAAAGGGAAAAAATGGGGATTTGGAAACATTTAACAGAATATATTATCATGGGCTCAGGATGTGGCTCAAGTGGTAGCGCGCTCGCCTGGCATGCGTGAGGCACTAAGTTCAATCCTCAGCACCACATAAAAAAAATAAATAAAATAAAGATTAAAAAAAAAAGAATATGAAAAGATCTCCCATTTAAAAAAAAAAAAAGAATATATTATCATTGCACTTTGTTCCTGGAGAGCATGTAGGAGGTAACAATAGCCAAAAGAAGAAAGGGAGAAAGGACTTTTTAACACAAAAAATAGCCTGTATGAAGCCCCCCAGTTCTAAAAGAGGTAAGCTGTCAATATCATGGAAAATATATTATGGCCAAGAGTCAGGATGGACCCATGGAAGTGAAGCTGGAGAGCTGATTGAAACCAGACCGTGAAGAGCTTCAAAAGCCACGTTTATGGAGAAATTGGTCCTGGAGTGACAGCAGAACTTGCAGCACATGCATATAGAACTGAAACCAAAGTTTCTCTGCATCTGATGGCAGATGGGGTCTGCGTAAGTTGCAGGCCTTTCCAGTCAAGAAAGCCTGTGTCAGTGTGAGCAGCCAGTCAAGACAGGGAATGCCTGCCCGTGTCCGCTCTGAGGGTCACAGCCAACAAAACCTGATTCTCCTCCACTATCATGGAGTAGCATGTTGCAGCTCTCAATGGTGGCCATGCCCTCCAGTGCTGCAGCAGAGCCAAGAACAGACCCAAAATCCTGCAGGATGAGAGGGGACCCAGCAGAAGGTTGCCTCTTGGTTGTGCTTGTCTTGGAGTTATTATATAACTACTGGTCCAGATTGAGACTAATCAGGTTTTGGAAAAGTGCCAACACTATTGGTCCAACTTTACGCTGATCAGATCTTGGATAGTATTAATGCTATCGTTAGCCCTCGAGTAATTTTCCTGCCATCTCCACTCAGGTTTGCCCCCACTTGTGTTTTCTTGTCACTGATTGGGCTCACCCTGGCTCACCTGGACCCTAGCTCTGGGACACAGGCCCGCCCCAGCATGATAGGATCCACCCATCGGTAACCCGCATTCACTGTGTGCTCCAGCCCACCCAGGCTGCCACTCTGGGACAAAGGCTTGGATTCAGAACCAACTATCAGTTTTGCTTTATGGAAGATAATCTATCCACAGCGAACCTCCTCAAGCCAACTTTTATCATTTTTACTTCTCTTACTACAGTCAAGGTCTTAGATCACCTGGTATCAGTAGAGACGGGGCACTGTGGCCAGGGAGCTGATGATGGTTTGTAAGTGGAGCATTTGTTGAGTTCTTACAGTGAGAAGGAGCTACATCTTAGTCTTCAATGGAGTCTGTGCAACGCAGGTGCTAAGCTGGGCAGCTCGGCCATCCACAGGCAGGATTAGGCAGAGAGCGCCTCTCTAAGTCACTTGTCAGTCAAAAGCTTGTGGATACGTATCCAAAGGCCCCACAGTACATCTGGCAAACGGGCGCACCCTCCCCTGTGAGACCCAGGACTTGTCATTTTGGTTCCAGATCTTTTCTTTTATGGTCTGTAAGAGAAATCCGAGCCCAGGCCAGATTCTGAGAAGAACGCGTTATTGCAGCCAAAGGAAGAAAAATGACAAGCACGTGGCAGAGAAGAAAGCTGGACCCGTCTCAAAGGTATACTTCAGCCCTGGCCACTCACAAAGCCAGCAGAGAACAGTTCATGAAATAAAAATGCATAAAGTAAACAAACCGCCCGCCATGGAACCATGCTTAAATGATAGCAGATGAAATTTAGAGTTCATTTAAAAAATATATTCTCTGAAAGGGAAAAAAAAAAGGTGTTCAAACTGAAAGAGTGTTAAGAGGTGCCTTTTTGAAAGGCGGGGGCTCCTTTTTAAAGACTCACTAGCTCCGTGGTAGATTTTTTTTTTCTCTTTGTTTTTTCGATCAGTAATCACATGTGACTGTCTATCACGGGACAAGCACTGTGCTAAGCTTTGGTGACACAAAGACTTTTATTCTGTGACCTCAGGGACATTCTCCAATGTCTTCAGAGTCAATGGCACCATGTTCATGCACTTGGTCCAGGAGGTTGGCGGGAAGTATCCTAAAAATCATGCAAAGTGGTGTCCTCGTGTCAGCCAGGCTGTGTCATCGTTTCAGGAGACGTTCTGCTCCTTTTTTTGAAGTATCTCCAGTTTGTAAGCATGACGGCCAGTTGGCAGGCTAGCATTTTCAGTTTGTAATTTTCAACATAAAAGCCTCGTTTTTAGTTCTAACCTGCAGGGACGACCATCCTGGCCTCCTCGTCCTTCTCCTGCCTCACTGCCGCAGCTGCCCCAGCAGAGACCAAGCAGCTGTGTGCACTCACGGCAACAGCAGGCATGATGCTGTGGCCAGGATGACCAGCTGTCCCCGAGGACCCATGCTAGACCAGCTAGCAGAGGTGCCTTTGTGGACATGGGGATAGAGGGGTGGATCTCCTGATCTCTGGACTGGCCAGCAGGGTTCTTCCTACATACAGAATCCTACAGCCAGTTTTGAACAAATGTCTATTGCTTTTGCACCACAGTAAAGTTGGAAAATCTTTTGTGAAGCACTCATCATAAATCAGGGACTGACTCTATTCAATCCTGATCCCAGAGGCATCGTGAGCCTCTCAACCCTTAGAATCAAAGCATGAGGGAAAATCTAAATTCTTGGCTCATTCCGTTGTTTTAAAAACAAATAATAGCTATGCCAGTAAAACTGTCATTTTCAGTCAGTTTCCTAATTTAAGGAAGAAAAACAAGGAGTATAAAGCTTTTCTGCCAATCTAACTCAGATGGGAGATTCTGTCTCCTCGGGCTGGTGTGTCTGATTACTAAGGACAGCAACCATTAACGTGGTAGCTGTTTTTATGGATATTCTCCCAGAAATTAAAATGCTGCTTTTCACTAGACACCCATTCGCTCCATGGTGGAAGCCACAAGGAATCCCTGCACGTGGCACCTCTGGTGCACACAAAGCCCAGGCACACACACAGCAAGCTTCACAAGTTTTCTTGTTGTGTGAATCCAAGCAGGTAGAACATACAGATCAAGGCCATTGAGCATCATTTATAAAAACCAACCAAAACGTTCTTTGTTCCTCTTAATGTCCTGTTCTTCAGCAGATGTCATCCCAGAGTGTGGCAGGGAGACAAATCGCTTCCTTCCATATTTGTCCCCACCATCCTTTTCACCAGGAAGTCTTTGGGCCATGTGTTATTTTGCTTTTCTTGGTATTTTTATGTTTTCCTCTCAGTGTTTTGTGGGCCTACCAACAAACCATTAATGAGAATCCCAGATGTTCACGTTTGGCCAGAATCCAGTGTTTTGTTTAGTGTCTAATTCCATTGATAGTAGCCATCTCCATTCACTCAGCCAACAGGAAGATAGATTTTTCATTCATATAAAAAAGGAAGAAACGGTGCAATCCCTCGAGTACGAACTACCCCCTTCCCTCCTCTGCCTCAAGATCCTGGATTCCTCCCTCAATATCAGACACAAACAATAGGCTGGTAAATAAATCCCTGCCGCTCAGGCAGGGCATGAGCCTATGGTCTGTTCAAGAATTTGGGAGGCAGTGGGTATGGTCTCTGACATTAGTGGGAAGAAATGAAAACCTCCAAGGTTTCCCCTAACCCTGCAGTGCAAAAAGCTGCTTTTATTATCAGCTTCCCTATGAGATCATTTCTTGTCTGGTGGTTTACATAGAGAAGAAAAGGCTCCAGTGAGGATTGCCCACCTCCCCAACCCCACACCCAGGATTTATGAGAGTCTGTCCTTGGGCTGAGCATCTGTCAGAGATTTAAGGGATGGGTGAGAAGGGCCCTTTCCGTTCTCCAGGCTGCTTTGCACTTGAAGCTTTAAACCTTCATGAACTGCCCCCCTCCGCCCCTGCCTGGCTACGTCCTTCCCTAAGGATGCAGTGGTCACAGTGGGAAGCAGAAGGCAGATTTTTTTGCTGACTCAGCATGAAAAAAGTGACCCACATTTTCTGGGTTTAGAGCTTAACATAGAAAGAACACATTCAGGTGCGTTTCAGTTCAGTTAATAAAAGAAGGTGGAAGATGTTGAATATTATGTAAGTACTGAAATTTTCTTAGATTTGAATGCTCTTTGGGTGGACATGTGCCATTTTAGTTTTTGCAATTCATTTATTACCACTGGAAGGTGTTGATTGATTTTGTCCTGTTGTCTGTGAGTCGGTAAGGACTTTGGGCAAATTTCATCATGGAGATATACACCTAGTGTAAGTTTGAAATTCTGTTTCAATGAGCCACTGTGGGGTGGAATTTTAAAGTCTGGGTAGATACAAGTATGTCCATGCAGGACCTTCTTCTACACTGTGCCAGCCCCCTGTCCACAGCAGTACCCAACTCTGAGGGCAGAAAAAAAAGAGTGAAGCAAGATGTTTAATTCTGACAGTCCCAAAATCTCTGGAACTTTCCAGCAGCAGGCCATGAGAGCTGGGAGCAGAAAACACTGTGCCCTTGCTTCCAGTCCGAATTCTTGTCGTCTTTCCTCTGGGGAAAAACAAAGCAGTCCTTTTTGCATACTTTGCAAACCGTATTCCCAGCTTTTTGGACTTTCTTGCCTGGAGCTGATCGGATTCAGGGGTGCATGTGGACAGCCATTCCCAGAACAGCAGCGACGTGCAAACTCCGATGTTATGCCACCTTCCCTTCTGAGGTGGCTACACTTATAACCAGGGCCCAGCCACCGAGGGGCACACTTTCCGCGGTCTGGTCTGGAGCAGCCCTCCCGCTGCCCTGGAGGGCAGGTCCCGTGGGCGGCCCCTGCACCGCGCCTCCTGTCCCCTCGGCGGCGGGGTGGCAGCCTGCTGGCGTTTTCCTGTTTGCTCACTTGGCTTTCCTTCCCTTTCCTTCCCTGGGGGCCTGCTGGGCTGGCAGCGCCGGGGTCCAGCAGACCAACTGCAGAACCTCCGTGCCTTCCAGCAAGGGCAGCAGCAGCGGAAGCAGCAGCAGCAGCAGCAGCTCCTCCAGCGACTCCGAGAGCAGCTCGGGATCCGACTCGGAGACCGAGAGCAGCTCCAGCGAGGGAGAGGGCGGCAAGCCCCCGCACTTCTCCAGCCCCGAGGTAAGCGGCGCCGCCACCACTCGGGCCACCTCCCTGCCCCGCCCCCAACCGGGCGCCACCCGGAGCCAGGAAGGCCTGGGGCTCCTCATTGTCCCCACTCCGCCCCCTCCTCCCACTCTCCTAATGACACCACTTCCTTTGAAGTTCAAAGCATCATCTTTCACTGTCCAAAACTCTCTATTTGACTTCCAGAAATTTCCAAGTATGTTGTAAACATCACCAACAGGAAATAACCAATGGATGGGGGTCTCCCTCGGGGTCAGCTGAGGCAATAACCAGACAGGAAAGTTCGCCACCTGGGAAGTGGGACCTCCAGTAAATCACAGGGACAGAAAGTTTATGGATCAGGCATGCTCAGAGTCTTACCTTTTTTGCAGTTTGTCACGGATCAGAAGAACAAGGGCTATAAATATTAATAAAACCTTCTTAACTGTGTTTTCTTTGTGAAAATATAAAAGGGAAAATTAGCATCAACCTACGAATAATAATGAAACCTTTTACAACCATGACCAGTGTCTATGGGGAAGATTTAGGTGCCTCGTATAAAAACATTATAAGGTCCTAATAAAAACCATTGCTGTTTCTACTTTAAAGTGGAAAGGGGGGAAATTAAATAGTAATTCAGAGCCCAGAGATTCTTGGGTGAGGGCCCAGAGAAAACTTCTCAAGTCTGGGAGCCATGAGTGTAGGTTTTGTTTTCTAAAGAAGGAATAAAAGACAGCTTCTTCCCAAGTGTATAAACAGGTGACATCACTGTGGATTGCGGGTTTGATTTTTTACTGACCACCCTCTGTGTCATTTGAGGGGGGCCAGATTCCTAAATAGGCTCTGACGACAAACCAAAGCCACTAATGCAAGCCCAGGGCCTTGGGAGGGCAGCAGCCCTCTTGCTGCTTCTGTACCTGTCACCCCGGGAAAGGTACTTCCACAGAGGGACTCTTACAGTCCCTCTGGATTTTCTTTTTATCTCTCCACAGTCCCCCTTTCCTCCTCAGCATCTTTCTGCTTTATGAAAAAGCTCTCCACTTATCTGAAATAAGCCCCCTCTCCAGCACGTGATCTCTTTGATGTGCCTATTTCTCTATCTGCCCACCTACCCACCCACATAAGGTAAAGGCCCTTAGTGACATTACCCTATGAGTGCCTCATAGCTTATTTTAACCCTGGATTTTTAGTGGAGAGACTAACATTATCATTCCTCCCTCACAATTTCATTCATTCACTCACTCTGTGTTTGTTCAACCAATATTTAAAGAGCTATAGACATTGGGCTCGGCTCTGGAATACAGCAGTAATATCAGAAAATGCCCTGTCTTCACAGATCTAACATCCTAACAGGGATCATTCGAAACAGAAAAAAAATATAGTAGTTAAATAGAATCAAGTAGAGGAATGAAGCAGGCTTTATTAAACCTGCTTTGTACTACAATTGGTTGAGAAATTCCAGAACATCAAATTATAAGAAACAACTCCCAGGGACAGCTCAAAAGCCAGGCATGAGGGCCCTGGGTTGGATAATAAGGGGTCTTGTCCGTGAAGTGAAGACCTCCCTGTCGGGGCTCTTCTTTGTGACTGCAGGTTGAATACATGAGCGAGTGCTGAGTCTTGTTTACACACTGAGATGTGAATCCCAGAGTTACTGAATCTGCTGAAACCTTGCCAAGAGCAGTACATTTGTGAAGTGCTTTAAGCAGAGTCTTGCTAAAAGTCACTGAGATCATTACGTGGCCTTGACCTCTTGGATGGTGAAAGGGTAACTGCTGCCCTTCTCATGGCAGGTCTCAGAGGCCCTGGTGAAGGAGAGGGAGCAAGTCTTCTAGAAATCTGAGCTCCCCAAGGATGCTTCCTTGCTCCTCCAGGTGCAGGGAATGCAGAAGTGGCAAATGGTGTGTTAGCCACACTAGACGTCATTCCTTCCTACTGGAAAGGGATGTATTTATTGGAGTCCAAGTAAGGTTCTCTTACATCTTTCCCAAGGTTAATGCAGACATACCCCCTGTAGGAGGGAAATGGGTTTGCAGGCTGAAAATCGCTGTCATGGGAAGTAGCAAGATTCTGCTCCTCCTTCCCAGCCCCCCTGCTTCTCTCTGAGGGAGCTGACCCCCATAGCCTCACACGCATTGAGGCCTGTTTCCTGAACTCCACACATCACTGGGGCTCCTGGTAGCCGTACACCTCACATTCCACTGCGCAGACGGGATGGTGCTGCCTTGCAGTGAGATGCTCTGGCCCTCTCTTCCCCTCCACGCCATCCTGACCCAGGAGTAGAAAGAGGCACTTCTGAGTTCTCAAGGCACCTTGTCCTTCCTCTCAATGTGCCAGAGCTGGGAAACCCCGCTGTGCTCCACTGAATTTCACGCAAACTGTTCTTTATGGCCCTGATTGCTGAACAGCACTTCCTGTCATGTGAATCCCTATCATGTAAGGCCTCCTTTGCAGGCTGCCCTGGAAGGGCCACTGTAAACATCTCCGTGGCTGTGAATGCCCTCTGCAGGGCCTGACCTGTGCTCAGTCATTCTCAGCCCCATTTCTTTCCCATGGGTTTTATCTCAGGAGTTTTCCTGGATCACGTGCCCTCCCATGCCAGGAAGGAGCTCACTGGATTGGCACGTTGACACCCGCACATGGGGGTGGGGGATCAAGCTTGGTCAGGTCATTGTGAGTTCTGGGGTAAAGTAAGCCGATCCCATTTCTTTACACCTATGCACTTTAGGGCATCACCCTGCCCTAAAAATTGCTCATGGAAACACAGGTTTTCACTGTGACTTTTCCCAAATGGACCCAGCATGGCAGCCTTTCTTCATGGAATATAAAAACTAAAAGCATATTTTGGAAGATGCTGCCCCAGATCATTCTTTTTATTTTTTATGGGGAGGGTACCAGGGATTGAACTCAGGGGCACTCACCATTGAGCCACATCCCAGCCCTATTTTGTATTTTATTAAGAGAAGGGGTCTCACTGAGTTGTTTAGTGCCTCCCTTTTGCTGAGACTGGCTTTGAACTCTTGATCTTCCTGCCTTGGCTTCCCAAGCTGCTGGGATTACAGGTGTGTGCCCCTGGGCCAGGCTCCAGATCATTCTTAAGAATCACTGTAATTGCTGGTTTGTTCAACAAGGCTCTTGCTAATCAGAAGCTGCTAAGGTCCACAGCAGTAAGTGCTAGGAAGGACACAGAGGAGCAGATACGTGGTGGGGAGCTCCTGCATAAGTCAGAAAAATAACCAGGGAAGAGAGTTGCGGCTGACCTCTAGCACACCAAGCCAGAAAGCAAATAGAAACATCAGGCAGAAACCCCGGATGGCGCTCAAGAGGTGGGCCACAGCCTGCACGCCTGCTGCGCTAATCTGAGGTCCTGGGTTTTCCCTCTGTTTTGCCACTCAACTCTCTGATATTTCACCTTCCTTGGCCACAATCACTTCCTCCCCAGAATGTAGGACATTTCTCTCCTGCCTGATCTGTGAGGTGTTTGTCAGGAACAAATGGTACATTTTGATTGACAGCTCACTCACTGGGAGCAGTCATAGCGATCTCTCTTCCAGGCCTTCTGTGTATACTGCAAGGGGCCTGTCCTGGCCAGAAAGAAGTGTTGGACTTTGTTAAAGACTCAAGGCATGTACACATGGAACAGATATGAACATCAAAAGCCTGTGCTATTGAGTAGATGGAGAGTAGCAGGCATTGTTTCGAGAGTTCGTGGTGTTTGCTCCAAAAATCAGATCTAATACTATTGTTTTAGGTTGAGGACTGACATTTCTCAAAGGAATGACCCCACACACACCAGAGAGTAGTGGGAGAGTTTAGTGAAACAACCATGCAGAGAATCTGGTCTTTACACCTAGGCAAGTACAAGTTCAGTCTTGGTGAAGCCTGGGAGTTGTGCAGCTTCGGACATGTCACTTAACCTCTCTGAGCCTCATCTACAAATTAAGGGAGATACTGTTTCTTATCTGTGAAGGTTAAATTAGGTAATACGTGTGAAGTGGCAGGCATCTGGTAGGTGCGCCAGCAATGAAAGCTGATCGCAGGATGATGTTCTTTGGATGACAGCCAGGGGAACGTGGCTTTTGTTGGAGAGGCAATAGGAGGTCATCATAGATCCTGGAGAAAGGGAGCATGATTTAGTGGTGTACTGAAAATGGCACTTCGAACTGATTTGTTTGTCTGTGAAGTGCAGAAAAAATCACCCTCAAACACGTCATGCAGGGGGCCCATGCGAAAAGTATTAAATTCTGCCCTTCCCTGTTCATACTGCCTGTTTCAGCGTGCCTCTCACCCTGTGCTAAAGACTCCCATGTGCTTACGTAAGAGATGTGAGCTGTGGAAGGCTTGGAGTAGGAGAGAACAGTGTTCCACTGGGAGGGCAGCACGGGTGCTCTGCCCCACGTATGTGAGCCCTCCCCGCAGTACCTGCCCCCTTCTGCAAGGGTGGCTGCAGCCCACACACTAGGCCCATTTGTATGGGGAAGCTGAGGCACAGCTTTAAAAGGCATTGACTCCCCAGTGGTCACATAATGGGAAAAATGGGGGTGGGGAGATGAGATTAGAAGCCATGAATTTGTGCCACCCAATTAGCTTCTAGGCCTTCTCTGCTCATCTCAGGGAAGGTGAGGGTGCCCCTGGGCAAAGAAGCCATTGGGCATCCCCCTGTCCTGCTTCCTCTGACTCCAGGAGGGCATCTTCCATTACAGCTTCAGGTGTGCTCTTTAGGGGTCCCTTCTTGCCTTTCTCTAGAGGAGAAGCCAAAATAAAATGAGAACTGAAACATAACAGCTCAGAGGTGCAAAAAAGGGACAGGTTGAGCCCCTCCAGTCTGAAATCTGAAATGCTCCAAAACCCAAAACATTTTGAGAACTGACCTGAGGCCACAGTGGGAAATTCTGATACTTTGTTCCACATACATCATTATTAAAAATATTATATAAAATTACCTTCAGGTTGTGTGCACAAGGTGCTATCAAATATAAATGAATGTTGTGTTTGGGAATGGCTCCATCCCTAAACTTATCACATAATGGGTGTACAAATATTCCCAAACCCGAAATCCAAAATGCATCTGATCCCAAGCATTTTGGATGTGGGGAGCTCCCTTCCTCTGGAGCCCCGTTTCTTTGGGAGACATGAAAATAAGCAAAGATGCCCATGTTCCACCCTCGCAGCCCCTACTCTGGCCTCTACTGGACTTTTCTTGCTCCTTCAAGTCACTGGACACCCTGTGCTGGTTTTCCCTGAGATGTAATCAGTCTCATATGTTAGGAGCAAGATATCCACAGTCCCTGCCACCACTTTGGTTGGCCAATCTCCACAATGTGTGGCCAGTTCCTCCTGGTCCCATGCCCTTCTGGCCCATCAGAGGCTTCCCATGTTCCTGAGCAGGGCCTCCCCAATTCTTCCAGGCTCAGCTAGGACCCTGTTGTCTTACCCCTGTCAGATTTGTGACCAAAATGAAAACCACGGGCCCAGAGCCTCAAGTGCTGTTCTTAATACAGACCTCATTGTTGAAAACAGCTGATTTTCATAAATGAAAGGAATCTTTTGAAATTTATCATGTTAAAAGCAAATTTTTCTCCTACAATGGATCCTAACTCTAGACTTTACCTGATCAAATTTAAAATATAAAACTAGAGGAGGGTATATCTCAGTGGTAGAGTGCTTGCCAAGCATGCATGAGGCCCTGAGTTCAATCCCCAGCCCTGGCGGAGTGGGGAGAATATTGAGCAATAACTTCTTGTTCTAGAATGGTATCTCTGCTCACCCTTAAACAACAGATGCAGCAGACTCAGGGGTGAGGAGGCCATATGGAAGGAAAAATACTTCAGCTTGACCCTCAAAACATTTTCCCCATTTCACCTCTAGTCACCAACTGAAAATACTCTGGCTAAAGTTCTACCCCAGTACACCTGTTATCTACTAATAGTCTTCATATTATTTGGAATCAGCATTTACTCCATTAAGATCTTGGTTTTTAACCCCTTTTAACATGTCCCTGGAACAGGAGAGTTCTCTTCTGCTAAACGAGCCACCTTCCCAAAGTTAATGCTTCTACAGCTAAATAACTATGCCCTTGATTTCCCTTTTACAAAAATTATATGCTAACTCTTTGGGCTCCTATATAGGTACCTTGATTTTTCCCAAGGTTTGGTCTCACTAGAAATGGGTGCTTTAATGCCCAGGGTCTCTGAATTATTATTCCCCACTTAAATTTCAAGGAATCTCAAATATACATGTGTGTGTATATATTCTTTTTAAATGCTTGGAAGTGATTGAAATGTTTTCCATCAAGGCACAGTGCTAGCCCCCTATTTTTTCAAGTAGACTCCAATGGGCCGGGCTGATATTTAATTGCTTAGGACCAGCAAGAGCAGCACCACCGTCTAGACACCCTGAGGGCCCCTGGGCTGCCGCAGTATCCCTGGCTTGCATCTCCTGTTTGCTGGCAGCCCGCTCATTTTTTGCATATGCACCCAGAGGAGTACAGTCAAGGTAAAAAAAAAAAAAGAAAAAGAAGAAAGAAAGAAAAACAGCCCGGCCCTTTTTAAGGGAAGCTGTAATAAAAAGGTGTTTTGTTTGTCGCGGGTTTTCTCTTTCAGGCTGAGCCGGCATCCTCTAACAAGTGGCAGCTGGACAAATGGCTCAACAAAGTTAATCCCCACAAGCCTCCTATTCTGATCCAAAATGAAAACCACGGGCCCGAGAGCAATCAATACTACACCCCTGTGAAAGATGAAGTGCAGGACTGCGGGAAGCTTCCCGACGTCTGCCAAACCAGCCTGCGGGAGAAGGAACTCAAGAGTGCCTGCAAGGAGGAGCAGAGGCCGAGGACCGCCAACAAGGCCCCGGGCAGCAAAGGGGTGAAGCAGAAGTCCCCGCCCGCGGCCGTGGCCGTGGCCGTGAGCGCCGCCGCCCCGCCGCCCGCGGTGCCCGGCGCCCCTGCGGAGAGCGCCCCCGCGCCGGCCCGGAGGTCGGCGGGCAAGAAGCCCACCAGGCGCACCGAGAGGACCTCAGCCGGGGACGGCGCCAACTGCCACCGGCCCGAGGAGCCCGCGGCGGCGGACGCGCTGGGGGCCAGCGTGGTGGTGCCCCCGGAGCCCGCCAAAAGCAGGCCCTGCGGCAACAGCAGAACGAGCCACCGCAAGGAGCTGCGCTCCTCGGTGACCTGCGAGAAGCGGCGCACGCGGGGTCTGGGCCGGATCGTCCCCAAATCCAAGGAATTTATCGAGACAGAATCGTCATCTTCATCATCCTCCTCGGACTCGGACCTGGAGTCGGAGCAGGAGGAGTACCCTCTGTCCAAAGGCCAGGCAGTGGCCGCCGCCTCCTCTGGGAGTGACCAGAGACTCAAGGAGGCCGCCAACAGCGTCAGCAGCGGCAGCGGCCCCCGTGCGGCCGTAGGCTCCATCAACGCCAGGACCACCAGTGACATCGCCAAGGAGCTGGAGGAGCAGTTCTACACCCTGGTCCCCTTCGGCAGGAACGAACTTCTCTCTCCCTTGAAGGACAGTGATGAGGTCAGGTCACTCTGGGTCAAAATTGACCTGACCCTCCTGTCCAGGATCCCAGAACACCTGCCCCAGGAGCCTGGAGTCTTGAGTGCTCCTGCGGCCAAGGACGCAGACAGCGCTCCGCCCAGCCACGCTCTGGACACGCCCACCGAGAAGACTTTGCCAAAATCCAAGAGGAAACGCAAGGTAGTCCTGGGAGAAAGGGGGTCTGGAAGGGAGGGGACTTTAATTTGTGGGCAAGGGGTAGAGCACAGGTGGGCTGCTGGCTGGGATTGTAGGTGGCAGCAGGAGTTTTCCTTGTCCTTAACAACTATATAGTACTTTATGCCAAATGTGTTAAGTACTTAATATCTATAATCCCAGTTAAATCCTCAGGAGTATCCAATGCAGCAAGTACTGTTACTGTTCCCATTTTATAGTTGTAGATAATTAAGCCCTGTCCAACTCGTGTGGCAATGGTGATACACAGGTACTAGTGTGTTCAGACAGACCCAAGCTGGGCACATGTGAAAGTTGAAAGTGTGGTGAACCCCATTCTTCCCTGGGAGGGATGGGATGAGTTGGTGGAGGATCACTCATCTACCTAAGAAGCCGGTATCCTTGTGAAGTTTAAGCCTGACTGGGGTGTGGGATGAGTACTGAAGTCCAAGTCCTCATAGCAGCCTGTAGCATCAATCAGGGAGGGCTTCATGGTGGAGAGAGGCTGGGAGGGCTCTGAGAGGGAGTTAGAATAAGCAGAGGTGGGGGGGGGGATGTAGTGGCACCAGGAGAGATGAACAGGTGAGGCATTGTGGGAGGGAGAAGGGCAGCTCAAGTACAGGGGCTGGAGCTGCCCCTGGCAACAGACACCAGATGTTCAGGGAATACCTTCATCATAATGTAAAGCCAATTCCCAGGATTTTTTGCCCTTCCTATTTCTGTATCTTCAAAAGTAATTTAAACCATAGTGAAAAACACAGTAGGTATCAAAGATTGCAAATATTCATGGACAGTTCCAAATTTGGGACAGAGTTGTTACCAGCAATAGTTAACATGCATTTATGTTCCCAAAAGGGATGCTGTTAAAGCACTTTGTACCATTTAATCATTTAGTCCTTTCAACAATATGAGGCAAATATCATTGTTGTGACCATTTTACAGGTGAGGAAACAGAGGTTCTGAAAGCCTAAAGTGATTTTACTTGAGGTTATGTAGGTCAAAGGGACAAAGCCAGGAATGAACCCAGGCAGTGTCTGGCCCCAGAGTCTCAAAATAAGAAGTCAGTCTGAGTTTGTGTAGTATTTTTGTTTCCAATGTTTTGTCAATAGAAAAAGAAGACTGAACACATGGGTTTTATAGCTGTTTCCAGTCCCTGATTAAGAGGGTCTAGAGAGTAAGGTTATTGCCTTTTCCTGGCCAGGATAAAGGTGTTCCTCACTTTCAAAGTTATATGGAAAAGAGAGACAGTCTCCTTATTATAATCATTTCCATGACCTGCGAAGGGCACCCATCAGCAGGAAAATTTATCACAAAGTGCTGAAGAATGTGTGTCTTCACATAGTTACATTAAATAACAGCCCTATGAAGCAGAATTGAACCCCTTACAGCAAAGTTCATGAAAAGAAATATCTTCAAAAGGTAGCTACTTACCTTTGCTAAAACCAAAGACAGTTTTATCAAGAGATTCCAGCATAGTTTCCATTCACCTTCAGAGCCCACATGGTGGATCCCCCTTTGCTCTGAGAGTGCTCACTTGTAGTGGGAAGTATGTGGATGTGGACATCAGGCTGACCTGACCTCAGATCCCATCTTTGACTTTTTCCTCCTCCAGTGCCAGCTCCATGGACCCTGCAGCAGTAAAGCAGCCACACAGGCTCCCATGGAGTTGAATGTTATGGCCGCCATCTTGAAATTCTTCATTTTATCTTTGAATTTGGGTCTGGTTAGTGATGGATCGTGTGTGGAGGTCCCTCTGCCTACCTATCGCTTCAGGAAAACTTTTGTCTGATCTTCAGCCTTCTAGAACCTCCACCCTGTGCAGTCTTCTCCTCCTCCTGGTCTCAGGCCAGGGACCATTCAGCCCCCCTGCCCCAGATAGTGCTCAGGCGTAGTCACAGCAAGGATCAAGATTAGGGTCTCCATCTTGCTCAGCCTCAGTCCCGGTAGTGAGGTGATCCACAAGGAAGCTTGCACTCCCTGGGGTGTCCCATTCACTATGGGTCAGTATTAGGGGTGGTTGGTGCCTAACTGAGCTTTGCCATCCATGCCAGCCCAGAAGATAAGTACCAGACTGGCTCTGGTGGGCCACATGCAGGTGCCTATCCCAGGGCAGCCCCAGCCCTTGAAAGTCTCCATTTACCCCCAGGGTCCCCAGGTTATCCCCAAATGCAAAGGAGCACAGCATGAAGTCACAAATAGATACCACCATGGCAGGTCAAGGTGGGAGACTGAAATGTTTTTTACTTGATACTTGATGAGGTCATTTGTCGGGTAGGGAAGTTTCTGGGGATTGAGCTCAGGGACCCTTAACCACTGAGCCACACCCCCAGCCCTTTTTCATTTTTATTTTTATTTTTATCTTGCTAAGCTGCTTAGGGTCTCACCAAGTTTCTGAGGCTGGCTTTGAACTTGCGATCCTCCTGCCTCAGCCTCCCAAGCTGCTGGGATTACAAGCATGCACCACCCAGCATGAAGTCACTCTTCCTGCTTTTCAGCCCAGCATTTTTATTTTGCACTAAACCTCAAAAATTCTGTGGTTAGCCCTAGCCTCCTGGGTGACCTCAACCAGCTGATCTTCTCTTCTCTGAACTTCATTCTCTTCACCATAAATGGTGTCAGGGTCGCACAACACATTCAAACCATACAATTTCGTTAGCTCATGTCTTCCCTGCTCCTGTTTCCCCCCGTTTTCCCCTAGGCACCCTGCCTTCCTTATTGCTTGTTGACAATTTTTTGTTGAATAAATTGCGAATTTATTTTTTGTTGAATCAATTGATTCAACAAAAAATTCAAAAAATTTTTTGTTGAATCAATTGATTAATCGCCTAGGAATCAGTGTGGATGTTACCTCTGAGCTTGATGGATAAATGGATAGGCTGATGGAAATAAATATATAAGAAATATGCAGAAGCAGATGTTGATAAACCTATGAATAGAAAATAAATCTAACCCTATAGATATACATGAGCATACAGAGAGAAGTGCAGAAAGATATACATATAAAGTCCATAATGGTCTGTATTTAAATAGCTGTGGTATCCGTGACTTTTTTTATTTTAATTTGCAAAATTTTATTTACCACTAAGCCTGACACCAGCTTTACTCACAAAACCTAATGGGTCCTCAATAAGCAATGACACAGGAGAAGTCAAAGGACGTTTCTGTAGCATTCTTTACTCAACATCCTGGGATGTGAAGATCCCAGTCAATACTGGGTGTTGGAAAGGAACCCATAGACCTGTCTGTCAAAGGTGCTGGGTCTCCCCTTGCTGAAGCCCTGGAACTGAGGACCACCGACTCAGAGCTTTGGTTTGGGTCCTCCATGGGGCCACTATTACAGTGTGAGGATCTGAGATGCCTATGGCAGAGGCCGTGCCACACTGTCCCAGCTAGAGAGAAAAGGTCAGCGGTGCTCTCTCAGGGGCTGGCACTTGTCTCCTAGAAAACACCACAGGAAGCCCTGAAGATCCCACCCTGGACTGGGCTCCTGCTGTCTCCCGGAAGTACTTCTTTTATGGACTGCCTTGCTATTGCACCCTGACACACGTCACACAGTCATGGTGATAAGAGTCCAGTCCAAGTCCCCTAGTGTGAAAAGGTACTTTAAGATGTTACCGGCTGGGAATTGTGAACTAGAAGTAAGGCATCTTGGCTTGCCATCCACAGAAGGTGCGGCTTTCAAGGTGAAAAGGTGCAGGCCTGCCACCACCCTTACCCCAGTAAGCCCCGGGAATATGCGTTTTTTTGTACCTTATCCTGATGCCTTGAGAGGCCAGGATGGGTGGTGCTCAGGCTACAGTGTGGGTTCAGAATAGGTGTGCTAGGGGTGCTGGGACTGTAGCTCAGTGGTAAAGCGCTTGCCTCACATGTGTGAGACGCCGGGTTTGATCCTCGGTACCACATTAAAATAAATAAATAAATAAAGCTATTGTGTCCATCGACAACTAGAAAATATTAAATAAAAAAAAAAAGAAGTTTGCTTGGGAAAACTAAATCCTGAGCAAGTTGCAACATTAAAAATGTCCCCTCCCAAATTTTGATCATGACATCATGCCCTTCCTCTCAATAAGCTGTCAATACTAAACCCATACAGGTTTCCTGAGCTGTTCAAGCGCAGCCACTAGTTCTCTCTGAGAGACACCCGCCCCCCAACCCTGATGCTCTTTGGAAGTGTCTTGGAGCACGCACCATGTTATGACCCCTCAGAATCCAAAGCTGATTGGCTTTTGCTTATTTCCACACAGTGCGACAACGAAGATGACTACAGGGAGATGAAGAAGGCCCAGGGGGAGAAAGAGAGCTCTACTCGACTAGCCAACTCCGCCAATAGTACTCTGTCTTCAAACCACTGCAGCATGAACATCAACAGGTACGCATGTTCCCTGAAAGGTGGGCGTGAGCCGGAGAGGTCTCTGGATCTGAAAGGCAGGTGCCACTTGGAGAGAGAATCCAAGTTTTTGATACGTGCTCTGGCCTTAGTCTTCAGACTTAGTTTAACCTAAATTTTATAATTATGCTCAATGTGGACTTCGTGTCACACTCCCAATAGCCATGTCAGGCCCTCCTCTGTGACAGAGACCAGTTACTAGGTGCACACAGCTCTGTGCTCCCCAAACACATTTCTTCCCCAAAAAAATGTAATAACTGAATTTTCAAGCCAGTGTTTTAATGGTAGCTACTCAGGGATTTAAGAAAATTAAGGGAACATTAAGGGTAGCTTAGGGATCAAAGAACATTAAGGCTACTACAAGGATGAGGAATGGGCTCTCCAGTGCTGCCCCTAAAGGCCCCCATGTAGACTAAAATTGTGGAATTCAAAAGGATCTGTGCTTCCAAGGTCAAGTAGCTACCCAGCATCTCCTCTGAAGGGGTTCCGTATGGCCCCACTATGAACCAAACCCCTCTGTGATGAATAGCTCTTTAGCAGGGCACAGTCCTGAAGGTTCTCTATAAGCCAGGAGCTCATCATTCACCACAGAAGCTCTTTCCATTTAGAAACACCTCCACAGAGAAGTAGCTTTTGCTCTGCGCTAACACCCTTACTCTCCCCTACTGTCCACTCAGGGTTTTAAAGGGGAGATTAATGTTTCAGCACAACACATAAAAATGTAAACCAAAAGGTTAGGGAAAGATATAAAGCAGCACTAAAACTGGGAGAGGACATTGGAGAGCAAGGGCACAGACGTGCGGGCCTACTGCATGCTCGGCTCCCCCTGGGAAGGCGGCCAGGAGGTGGAAGGTCTACATAGGAGGGACAGCGGCAGCCCTCTGTGCAGAGGGGATGGCATCCCCAAATGTTGTGAAAATAATGAATGGGGGGACTGCAGCCTCAAATTACCTAAGTATGTGATATGCACCTCTTTGTTCATGCATTAAATAACCTCCCTGGCTGATATCTTGGTGACTGTAGTTGTCAAGTAGTATTGAATATAAAAGATATTTCAGGATGCCTGTGGCTACTGAAAATATCCATGATGGGTGATTTCTACTGGTGACCCAATGGCAGGCATTGCTAATAGGATTCCAGAGTACCTGCTCCTCTCGTTTCTTTCCCTTGCTTGTAATTAAAGGAAATATTCCATTTCAGTGAGAGGTTAGTGAAAATGAAGATGTAGCTTTTTGCCATCCAAGTTTATGGACCTCAAGTTAAAAACCTCTTGTAGCAACTTTGCCTGGCAGAACCTCCCAGCTCTGATAGTTTTACTTAGGTTCAATTATGCCACAATGTGAGTGAAATTTCCAAGAGTTGGTCTGCATAACTCCATAACTACTGTCAAGTTTTTATTTTTTGTTTTTTCTAATTGACTTTATTTTTTAGATATATGACAGCGGAATGCATTACAATTCTTATTACACGTATAGAGCACAATTTTTCATATCTCTGTATATAAATATGTTCACACCAATTCATGTCTTCATACATGTACTTTGGGTAATGATGTCCATCACATTCCACCATCATTGCTAACCCCCTCCCTTCCCCTCCCTTCCCCTCCCACCTCTCTGCCCTGTCTAGAGTTCCTCTATTCCTCCCATGCTCCCCGTCCCTTCTCCACTATGAGTCAGTCACCTTATATCAGAGAAAACATTCGGCATTTGTTTTGGGGGGATTGGCTAACTTCACTTAGTATTATCTTCTCCAACTCCATCCATTTACCTGCAAATGCCATGATTTTATTCTCTTTTATTCCTGAGTAATATTCCATTGTGTATATATGTCACATTTTTAATCCATTCATCTACTGAAGGGCATCTAGGTTGGTTCCCACAGTTTAGTTATTGTGAATTGTGCTGCTATAAACATTGATGTAGCTGTGTCCCCGTTGTATGCTGTTTTTAAGTCCTTTGGGTATGGACCATGGAGAGGGATAGCTGGGTCAAGTGGTGGTTTCATTCCCAGTTTTCCAAGGAATCTCCATACTGCTTTCCACATTGGCTGCACCAATTTGCAGTCCCACCAGCAATGTATGAGTGTACCTTTCCCCTACATCCTCACCAACACTTATTGTTGTTTGTCTTCATAATAGCTGTCATTCTGACTACTGTCAAGTTTTATTGGTGCCGTCAAATGGTCCCAGAGATAGGTGATTGCCTTTCCCAAAGAACTCCAGAGAAGGTTTCTTTGGTCAACTAGGAATATATAAATTTGAAATATTTTTGAAGAAGGGACAATCACATGCCCACGACAATATTTAACGTCATAATCTGTTTTTCATGCACACTAAAAAACCATGAAGTATGTAAAATAATAGACACTTAGAAATAGGTCTTTCCCCCTCATGTTTCAAGAAGCTAGTGCTCTCAGGCTCCTCACATCCCATATACCATCATCTTCACCATCACTAGATGAGGTACTTTGGAGTCACCTGAAGCGCTTTCCTAGAACATATCTGCTCACTGCTTTCTGAGTTGTGAGACACACACTGCTTCTGGAACCAGAGGTTCTATCTCCACGCCTATCTATTTATGTAACATTAAGAAGCTTGGCTTTGTCATTTGTTCTACAGGCCTGTATAATTTCTCCACCATGACCACCAGCTAAGGAAATTGCTTTTTGAAGTGACTTTAATAGTTTGTTTGCAATGATAATCAACACGTGCAATTAAGAGTTCATGACCCCAGGAATAATGACTAAATCTTCATTAAATGGTGTGACCCTTTTTTTGGTAAACTGACTCTATAACCATCTTAAATTAACAGTGATTGAGTTTATTTCTGGCTGATATGTCTGCCCCCAAACAATATTTTTTCTCCCGAAGTAATGCAGGGATTCCTAACAACATAATATCCATTGCAGAGACTTAAATACAAGTGAATCCCTCTTCTCTAATGATTGATTGTGGAGAACATTATATTCAAGAATAGACAGTCGTTTTGAAGGTAAAATAAAGAGCTAGGAATCAGAAGTTGTAATTTCTAATAACAGTTTCTCTGTTCTGTGTTTACTCTGATCAATGCCTGGGTAATTGGGAAGCTCAACAATAGAGCATCGGCACTCTGTTGCACAGAATGCCCTGTGATTCTATTATTTTCTATCTAGTAATGAGTACAAGCTCAGATGTTGGCAAAAGTCCTTGTAGCAATGGAGAACTCATTTGTCACTGTTGATTGACTGTCCCATTACTCTATGCTTCAGCTTATAAGGAAAAAATTGGTGATTATTTTGAGATTCTTGGATGAAAAACTTGGAACATGCAATTCCATATTATTACTCTTGGCTACTCCTTTTGATGCTAACTCCAGAATTACTGTTCATCCTACCAGAGTAAGAAACAATGAGCCAGGCCTGGTGGCACATGCCTGCAAGCCCAGCAGCTCAGGAGGCTGAGACAGGAGGATCATGAGTTCAAAGCCAGCCTCAGCAACAGCAAGGAACTAAGCAATTCAGTGAGACCCTGTCTGTAAATAAAATACGAAATAGAGCTGGGGATGTGTCTCAGTGGTTAAGTGCCCCTAAGTTCAATCCCCGGTAGCCCCCCTACCGAAAAAGAAAGAAACAGTGAGTGAGATTGGCTACTGTTTGTTAGGGTCCTGTGGCCATAAGGTTGCTCCTGGTGTAATAATTACCAATAAATTTCTTCCTACCTGCAGGTCTTAAAGGGGAGGTTTGGTCATATGTAAGTACTTACCTTTCCCTATGCTGACTGTGTGATTTTCCATTACTGTAACTTACTTTTTCAGCTTGGCAATACCAATAAATAAAAATGAAAAAATGCTCCGATCGCCCATCTCACCGCTCTCTGATGCATCTAAACACAAATATTCCAGCGAGGACTTGACTTCTTCCAGCCGATCTCATGGCAATGGTGTGTTTACTTCCTCCTCATCCAACAAAAAGTCTAAGGCCACCGACAGCCAACTGCAGTCCCATGCCGGGGACCTCACGGTGGGTGTATTCCCCTCTTTTCCCACATAGAATCAGAATGCAGTGGTACACCCTCGCCACACCCTCTGTCCCCAGCTTAGGAGTCTCCACTCATTTGGGAGGTTCTGCAGAGAATCCCTGAAGGAAGCCTTTAGGGAGACCTGGCAGAGGAGAGGACTCCTTCAGCCTTCCTCACAGAGAGCAGAAGAAGAATAAATTCATGCAAAAAAATATATATATATATATCAGGTCTCCTCTGTTTATGAAGCCTCCTTGCAGGATTTCAAACTCCAAAGAAATACCATCCTGGGGCACAGCAGTTTGGGAGTTTTGAACCAACCAACCTATATACTGGGAAAACTTCCTTATCCCATGGCAGAATTAAATCTGAGATTGAAACTATATTAAAATCTGCAGGTCTCACACTCCACCCTTATAGGCCAGTGTCCCAGCCACAGTGGGGAACACCCAGAACCACCCCTTTTCCAGTAGTCTCGGGTGATGCCAGCACTTCCCTGGGGAGGAGCAGAGTCTCATGGATAACTTTGGGTGCACAGTCCCCCCCCCGCCCCCGACTCAGCTGCAGGGTGATCTTGGCCCTAGTTGTCTCATCTTGGAACCCATTTCTTTATCTGCAAAATGGTGGTGATAAGATTGAAAAGAGGTAGAGCTGGGTTCGGTGGCACTCGCCTATAATCCCAGTGGCTCCGGAGGCTGAGGCAGGAGGATCGTGAATTCAAAGCCAGCCTCAGCAAAAGCAAAGTGCTAAGCAACTCAGTGAGACCCTGTCTCTAAATAAAATACAGAATAGAGCTGGGGATGTGGCTCAGTGGCCAAGTACCCCTGAGTTCAATCCCAGGTAGCCCTCCCCCACAAAGAAAGATTGAAAAGAAGTGACTTTCTCTTAAGACCCCAGCCCCTCTGGGCCCCTACACAGCTAACACCATAGGTGAGCCCCTCTTCACAGCCATGCTGGCCTCCAGTGGCCGGTGGCCCTGGCTCACTCATCTTCCCAGGATGAGTTCATTTTGAAAAAAAAAAAAAAAAAACCTTCAGGGTATGCGTATAAAACAGATATAAAAAAATGAATTTCATGTTTAAAGTTGGGTCCCATCCCCCAGATATCTCATTATGTTTATGCAAATATTCCAAAGTCTAGGGGGGAAAAAATCCAAAAATCCCAAACACTTCTGGTCCCCAGCATTTTGAATGAGGGATCCTCAAACCATATTTCTTGTTCTTTATTGAGACATAATAACCATCAACTCTGAAGCACAAGGTAGAGCAAAAGATGCTCTTTTAATGGTCATTCTTCCAGCCAGATGGCGAGTGTCTCAAGGACTCCTGTGTTGTTTGTTGTTTAGAAAGCGACTCACAACAGTGCTGAGCACGGTCTCCTCCACAGCAAGACCCGGCCACAAACAGAGCCCTGGTCTCCAGGCTCCAGTGGCCACAGGGACTGCAAGCGGCAGAAACTGGTCTTCGATGATATGTAAGTTTGGACTTTTTCCGAATATGGTAATGGGAAGAGAAAGTGGGAGCTAGGCATGTAGGAGACACGTGCATCTCACCCACAGTGCATCCACTTCCTCTCCCGTGGCTTGATCATTTAAATGTCCCTTTGAAAGGGAGCCGGAACTTTGAATGAAGAAACAGACCAGTGCCAAGAGGGAGGCTCCAGAAGAGTAGGAAGCTGAAGGCAGGAGAATTGAGTCTCTAAGGCCCTGGAGCCTGGACCCCTGTGAGTTTTATGCTATCAGAAAGAAGCGTAGTTTTAGTATTTTTTTTTTTTTATTTAGAGACAGGATCTCACTGAGTTACTTAGGGCCTCTAAGCTGCTGAGAATGAGTTTTGAACTCTCAATCCTCCCGGCTCAACCTCCCGAGCCACTGGGATTATAGGCATGCACCACTGCACCCAGCTGCCATATTCTTTAAAATGATTCTTATAGAAATATCCCTGTCATCTTTCACCTGGTATGGCAGCTTCCATCCGTATAAAAGTGGAAGAAAAACCTGGGTGGCACACACCTGTAATCCCAGTGGCTCGGGAGGCTGAGGCAGGAGGATTGGGAATTTAAAGCCAGCCTCAGCAATGGAGAGGCCCTAAGCAACTTAGGGAGACCCTGTCTCTAAATAAAATACAAAAAAGGGCTGGGGATGTGGCTCGGTGGTCGCATGCCTCTGATTTTAATCCCGGGTACCAAAAAAAAAAAGAAAAGGACATTCTAGAATGCTGGTGAGAGACTGAAAATAACAAATGATGAAATGATGCTGTAGGGTATTTAGGCTCTTAGGGGAAAACTGGGTGTCAGGGGCAAGCCTGGAAGGTAGAGGACAGGGTTCAAGACCGACTCCGGTTTTCAGCTGGAGTTCACAGCTGGAGTGTGGAGTGTACCTCTGTATGGGGCAGGAAGTTAGGCCCTAGGGTGCGGCAGCTCCTGCCCTGGGGTCTGCAGCTGACTATGCCCACTGGAAGTCAGGAAGCAGAACAACTGCAGACATCTCTAAGTCCTGATTTCCTTAGAAAAAAATAATGGCAGTGGGGACTCCCAAGATCCAGCTAGGTGACAACTCACGGGGTGTCACCTGAGGAAGTGCAGCGTGCACAGAGGGAGTCTGTCCAGCCTCACCTAAGCTTCACCCAGAGGGTCCATTTTCCTGAGAAGTGTGAATGCTGAGTGTTAGTCTTCAAATATCACATGGACTTTGCTAACCCAATGAGGATACCGAGTCATGGGGTTGAAAACCAAAGTCCCATTTTTTTTCTCTGTTGCACTTAACGAACACTTTCCAAGATAACTCAGTTTCAGGAAGTTTAAGGGCAGCCCGGGAGGCCCAGGTTGTCTCTCCTTCCCAGGGCGCTGCAGCTGCGCCCCAGTCCCCATGCACGCTGTCCTCGGGTGCTCACCACCTCCGTTTCCCTCATCTCCCCTTGCTAAGCAGTGTGGGAGGTGGTAATTAATCCCCAGGGAGGGCACCAAATGGAAGTACATTCAGTTCTTCAACTCTATCTATCATCTGAATTTGATAGTGTAAATTACTCAATTGTTAGAATTCCACTTAAGGACAACATGGAAATTTGCATTCAGAAGTTATAACCTAGCAACGTGATCAAACCGAAGAAGCATTAGGCAATGACTGAGGTGCTCAAAACATTGACAAACATTGATAGGCTGAGGCAGGAGGATCGCAAGTTCAAAACTAGCCTCAGCAATTTAGCGAGGCCTTGAGCAACTGAGCAAGACCTGTGGCTCAGTGGTTGACCGCCCCTGAGTTCAATCCCTGGTACCAAAAACAAAACACCTGACACTTTCAGAGGGATGGGTTTAAAAAATATATTTATGGAAAAATAGATGCAAGGAATTTCCGAATGTATGCACCAGAAAACAAAGTCAGAAATTGCAGTAACTAAATGATTGTATTCCAATCTGCAGTTTCTTGGGCTCTTTAGAAGAAGAAATGTTTCCCAGTCTGCCAGAGTCCAGGCTGATATAATTCTGTCACTATACCAATGAAGAGGTTGTTGTCATTTGCTCTGCACGTTATTAGCAGTAGGTATAGTTTTTCTGGCCGATGACTACAGTAAAATTGTTTCTCCTTTTGTGGATAGAGAGAAAATAGAACCAAAAAGTGTTCTTCCACATCCACCACAGGGAGAGAGGAGTGTCTTGTTCCGATTGCTGTGTGTGTCCCAATGGATTTGAAACCTGTAACAGTGAAATGCACCTCAAACAGCCACTCCTGGGCTGAGCTCAGAAAGTTATAGGGAGCTTGAGAAGCAAAAATAGGCATTGTGTCTTCCCTTGCATGGTGTAAATAAGTGTCCCTCAAGAGACCACAGTCACCTGAAATGGTGTAAAATGTCTCCCAGGTTCACTTGCTGGGTACTGAGTGCCTGCTAAGTGCCAGGGACAGGGGTGGGAGCGTGGACCCAATGACTGATTAACTCCCAGAACCGTGGGAGAAAGGGGCACATGGGTGGGCGTCTCGCTTCTCTCTGGCTCCTTTTTCCTTCCTTCCTCCTCCTCCTCTACTCTTCCCTTTCTTCCTTCCTCTCCTTCCTCCACCTCTCCCTCCCTCCCCTCCTCTTCCCTCTTCCCCTTCTTCCTCCTCCCCCTCCTTCCTGCCTTTCCTCTGCCCATTTCTCCTCCACCCTCTCTTCCATCCATCTTGTTCTTCTTCCCCTTTCTTTTCCTTCCTCCTGCTCCTCCTCCCCTCCCTCTTCCCTCCTCTCCTTTCCTTCATCCCCTTCCTCTTCGCCCCTTCCTCCTGCTCCCCCTCCCTCTTTCCGGCACCAACTTCCTGCCCCCAGGGCCTCATTGATGGGAGGCTCCCAGTTCCTGTCACTTTCCTTGGTTCGCCTTCACTGGGTCCTTAGCAGTGAAATGACCAGAGAGAAGCTGCCAGTGGACTAGATGATTAATGCCAGGCTAATTCAGAGCTGATGGAACTCCAGTTATGGTGATCCAAAAAGTAACAGATGCCACACTGTCGTTTAGTTTTTAAAGCCACACCATGTAGCTTTTTTTTTAAATAAACTCATTTTTTCCTAATATAAATACTTGTTATCGGTTGGATAAACATGCAATTCAGACAACAGCTGAATCCAGTGAGCTGTCAATAACAAGTATTGAATGAACACAGCTGAATTATAAATAACCTTCCCAGAGGGAATGGCTGGATATTTTTCCTTCTTTTTCCATGAACCTATATGCAGGTAAATTTAAATTCATGGGCTTCCAAGCCCCTTTTCCTGTGCTACTTACCAATTAAACAGGTACCAGTTTGTGCTGTTGGGATGCAGACAGAACCGAAGGGAATAACACTTGTTTTTAAAACAGGATCCAGGTCAGCGTGTTCTGGTAAGTTGCAGCCTCCGGTTGGTGATGGTGTGACTACACCTCGTCCCCCGACATTAAGTAAATGCATGAGATTCACTATTCCACAGCCACAGTATTAAAGTGACACTTAGGTGATCACCAAACTTTTGTTTAAAAAAAAAAAAACTTATGTCAATGGGCTGGGAATATAGCTCAGTTGGTAGAGTGCTTGCCTTGCATATACAAGGCCCTGGGTTCAATTCCCAGCACCATTAAAATAAAATAAAATAAAATAAAAAGAATTCATGTCAATGAGTGACATCGCTTGATTCTGCATGAGGTCAGGACACTGGCCTTATTAACACAAAGCCATCAGCCATAAATCACTTGGCATCATAATTAGTGACGGGGGACTTCTTGGCTAGGGAAAATTGAGAGACAACAACTGGGTCATGAAGGCTCCGTTCAGAAGTCCTGAATTCACGGAGCTCAATGGTGAGATTCTTGGCTGGGAATCTAGTGCCTGCATCATGCCAGCCATATTGCTATTAAGAGCCAGCAAACCCAAGGCCAGAGCCTCCTGCTGCTCCGAAAGGATGTGCCTCTCTTGCCCATCTTTCACATGGAAGAGTCAGTCACAACCAGCACAGTCAGCCAAACCAACAAACTTCCCATCTGTCCCCAAGGTGCCAATAACAGGAGCCCAGTTCCCCATCCCCCACCCCCAACACTGAGAAAAGACTCTCTGGCCACACAGGAGGCTGAAGGCCATGGGCATGTGAAATGTGACTGACAGGAAGGAATAGGGACTTGACATTTGTAATGTAATTATGCACAGCAGTCTCAGAGCTAAAAGGATTTTAATTTTATAGAGGATGGGAAGAATCCCGAATGTAAAAGGTCGGATCTCTTGAAGCATGATTTAATCAAAGGAAACCAATTGAAATCCTTGAGTAGGTGATATTACAGCCAAGCAGGGTCCCCCCAGGGGGACTTACCAGGGCATTGCTGTCCTGAGGGTCTTTCCTTCCCAAGACTTCAAAACTGGACCCCACCTTTTTATTTTCCTGATAAGCCTTAGTACTAGTCTTTGTTGTTCATGGATAATTGTTTCCATTCTGAAATCCCTCTTCCAAGGTCAGGTCCTCATTCTGTTCCAACTAAAACAGAAAGAAAGTGGGGGGGGGGGGGGGAAATAAGGACATTCAGATCTCTCTGATTGAAATCTGGGCTCTTTGATCACTTTTAAGATATGGAAAAATTATTTTATTTTTTAAATTTTTTTTTTAGTTGTCAATGGACCTTTATTTTATTTATTTTTATGTGGTCCTGAGGATCAAACCCAGTGCCTCACACAGGCTAGGCAAGCGCTCTACCACTGAGCCACAGCCCCGGAACCAAATTGTTTTCTTTTAAAATTCATACCCAGAGAAGAATAAAAATGAGATCAATAATTCTCCATCTCAGCAGAAAGTTCCTTTTGGTTCAATAACAGAAGCTCTCCCCTGCTTAGCTTCCTGTGCGTGGCAGGAGGATGTGACCTGTAAGAAACAGGACCAATTATGCTCCTGCTTCTGAGAAGCCAGGTCCCAGGCACTCTGAGGGCCCAGCTAACGTCAAGGTTGTAGAAACACCGCGACACTAGAATCCTTGCTGACTAAACATAATCTACCTGCATCCATGGGGAAGTGCCTGGAAAGCCAGCCTGGCTCCTCAGGATCCCTGACTCCAAACTGTCCCTTCAGAAGTGACCACCTGGGCCAGGGGGCGTGACTCAGTGGTGGTAGAGCACCGACCCAGGAGGCAATCCCCTGCACCAAGAAAATAATAATCAAATAATAGTGATCCCTGAGTGCGTTGCCAACAACTGCTTACCCTCTTACACTTTCTCCTTTTGGAGAAAGCACCTCCAAGCTTGGGACCCAGGAACACCTCTGGGGCTTAGACAGTGACAAGCTGAAATACCAGATGTCAGATGATAAATTCATTTGGTATGCCACTGCCCCTTTGTCTGATTTGGATCTCAGTCTGCCTAAGAAATCCGTCCAGATTTCTGCCACTCAGAGAAACCTGTGAGTTCAAACACATTGAGCTCTCGTCCCTGCCAGTGTGCACAGAGCCGGCTGGCTCTGCTGAGCACTGCCTTTCACAGAGGTAGGAATTACTGAGCTGTGTGTGCCAGCCTCTCCGTGGGAGACCATTCAGCTCGCTAGCTCTCAGCCAGAAAGCAGAACAAAAAAGCAAGGTTGCTTTAATACTCCTGTGTCAGAAGAAATATCAGGGGTGCTCACATCCTGTTGCTGCTCAGATCCAAGGCCATGTGTTTATAGGTGGGGGTGGAGGGAGGGTGAGGAGAAGAGAAGAAAACAGCCTCTTTGGATCAAGTACTAAGGTCACTTTTGTTCCAGAGAGCTCTTACAACAAACATACATGTGGATGTGGCTTCACTCGGGCCCCAGAGCTACAGAGTATAAGATACATGGTTATATTTATGATGCTTAATTGAACTTTGATTAGATTTGTTGATGTATCATCATGAAATACTGTCACTGTGAGAAAGAATGTGATGAATTTGATTACATAAATTTTCTTAAAAAAAAAAACAACTCTAGATCTTTCGCATTAAAAAAAAAAAATTAGAAGATTGGCCAGGCATGGTGGTGCATGCCTGTAATCTCAGAGACTCAGGAGGCTGAGGCAGGAGGATCATGAGTTCAAAGCCAGCTTCAGCAAAAGCAAGGCTCTAAGCAACTCAGTGAGACCCTGTCTCTAAATAAAATACAAAATAGGGCTGGGGATGTGGCTCAGTGGTCGAGTGTCCCTGAGTTCAATCCCTGGTACCCACCCTCACACACACACAAAAAAAATTAGATTGGATGAAAAATCTGTCTGAACACTTAGATGATTAGGGTTAGTGCCTGTGCTTTGTCATACTCTGTACTGCCACCACAGTGGTAGTGATTTTAATTTTCCTATTGATGATCTATTGCTGTGGGAAGTGACACCTTCATGCTGGCATGCATCTACTGCCGTGCTGGACAATCCGGGTGACGTCCTATTGGTCCCAATGGCTTTCTAATGATCTGATCTAGGAGCGTTGCACTAGAAATCACCTGAAGAAAAAAATGGGCCAATCATCAGGCAATCTTCAGTGAGTCCGTATAGTAAGCCTGCTATTAGATGCAGAATGAGAATTCTAACAAATGTGTTTGTAAATGGCCCCCAGATGGTATCTTTCCTTTCAGCAAGTCAGGTTACTGCTGTAACTGCCCAGATAAAGTCAGAAAATTAGATGTGTTACTTATCTCTGTGTGCTATTGAGAGTTTGTGACTCAGCCTCCATGTCGGGTTTTTTTTTAAAAAAAAAAAAATGCATTTATGTGCCGCAGATAAAGAACAGCATTGATTAAAGAACCCGTATTAGGCATCTATAAAGGCAACTTAGAAGGCTCGGGAAAACGAGGATGCCCTAGCTTATTGCCAAGAAAATCTTTCCTGAGAACAAAATGCATTTGAAATGACGATCTGTTCGTGACAAGGTCTACAAAACAGGCCAAGAAGAAAATGACCAAACTTATATACTAGAGTGTGGAGCAGATAATGATGTGGAGAATTTCCGGTTGCCATGGAGACGTGCTCTGGCTCATCACCCCATCACAAGGCACCACTCTTTTCTGAGCTCAGAGAAAAGTCGATGCCATTCAGGAAGGACTTGTTCACCTTCTGTTGTGTGCCTAAAATCACAGGATGGAGAAGACTGAAGAGGTCCACAGCCCTGTCCCTGCTGAAAATGTACCAGCCACCAAGTTGTTCATAGGCCATTGCCTATAGCCCTCTGCAGCTTAGAAGGCAATTAAATACCCAGAAATGTAGTGCAAACACGAAGTGCTCTATGAGACCAGGAAAGGCAGAGATAAGCATGGACCAGTGACCGGAAGGACCCATGGTGGCAGTAGAATTTGAGGGCAGTAACTTTTGGTTCATGGTCGATCCTTGGTGAAGACTCAGTTAATAAGCAGAGAGCAAAGTATTCTGGGCAGCAGGGAGAATAAGCAAAGCTTCTGAGACAGGGAGAGCAAGTTATTAAGACAGTGGGGAAACCAGCCCAGAGTTTGGCCAAGGCTGTTGGTAAATAAATGATGTGGTTAAGGGAAGGATATTAGGTCCCTGAACTGAGATGTCACCTCAGAGGCCCTGGAGATGGAGTCAAGGTCTGTGAGCAGGATGGCAATGTAATGAACACTATCGCAAACAACATTGGTCAAGGGGTGAAACTCAAGTTAGACTGCAGGCGAGTCCATCTAGAGTCTCAGCAACCTGAGAGGCCAGGAAAGCCTGGACTTGTGGAGAATGTGGTCTTGCGAGAGGAGAGGAGTGCTTACAAGGAAGCAGTCAAGGCATTTGGCAACAAGGGGAAATGGCTGAGAATACTGGAACTCTCCCCCTGAGCAAATAGGCTTTGGGACCTCACATGAAGCTCAGGAATCAGATCTGGACTTGGGCTAGAGGTGGGGTCTTCCATGTCAGGGGATGAAAACCAAAGGACAATAAATAAATAAGTACAGAGGATCCGAGGGCAGTGAAACTGTTCTTTGTGATAACGTAATGGTAGAGGCACGTCATTGAACATTTGTCCAAACCTATAGGATCTACAACACCAAGGCTGAACCCTACACTAGCATCTCTGGATCATGTTTGTCAGTGTAGGTTCATGGATTGTAGCAAATGTGCTGCTCCTAGTTTGGGATGCTGATAGTGGAGGAGGCTGTGGGGCAGAGGGCATAGGAGAACTCTCTGCTCAATTTTGCCAAAAGTGCTCTAAAAAATAAAGTTTTTTAAAAAAACAGAAGCAAACAATCAGTAACAACAAACATAAATTGCCAGAGTTGTTTTCAAAGACCAAAAAATCCATATGTGAACAAGGGTCAACATGTGACCTAAGAAGGAAAAAAACCATCCTGTTAATGCAACTCAAAAGCCATTAGAACAGAAGAAGCATGTGGGTGTCGATGTAATAAAGAAGGCAGAGCCTCTGGCCTCACCCACCAATGGGAGACCCACCCAAATGAAGGGCAACTGTCAGACCTGCAGGGGGACAAGAGTGGTGAAGGAGCCATGAGCCAAGGGCAGGATTAAGGAAATCCCACAACAATGTTGCCACTTCTTGTTTGTGACATGCTAACAAGACAGTCGCAGCTTGTTACCACAATGCTGATATTTTATAGAGAAACAGAAGATAGAAAACCAGGTCCTTTTCTTGCTTCTGTGATTTTTTTTTTTTTTTTTTTTTTTTTACCCAAAGCATTATTTGCTGTGATTCTGACTTGTCTGTGAGTGCAGTGTTTAAACCAATCAGTGTTCATTGTCATGGTATACATTATGTTTCTAAGGGTTTTGACCTCTTTGAATAAAGGGATGCTCTGGTTACCTGATATCACAGGCAGAAGACCCATCAGAACCTGAAACAAGATCATTCAAAATAAGCATATCACAATAGGTTCAACAGTCCAGGATTAATCTCCCTTCTTACATCATACCCCCTTTCAGGGACTCCTGGCTTAGATTGCATATTCATGAATAGGTCAGGTTTATTGATTACATAAAGACCCATATTACAAATAAAGTTTATAATGATGGAGACTAAAGCATATAAATTTTATTTTTTTAAAAATCTGTCAGATAAGCCTTTAAAGGTACTGCCTGACAAGTGCTTTAGTGTAACCGGGGATCATTACACATGCTCCAATCGGTCTCAGGATGAATTACCTTTGTCTCCCGGAAGAATCAGTGCTGACCAGGATTATTGCTTTAATAATGCACATTCTGCTGTTAATGTTTACCAGCTAGCTAATCAGGGCTCCAGAGAATTCATGCCATGTTTGCATTATTACAAGGTAGACATCATTTTACAATTAACTTCATTACAACTGGAACACAATCATATAGCATTACATTTTTTTTTTCATTTTTCACTGCCAGGCTTGAAAATAATTAAATATATACACATACAACTCTAGGTAGCACTTATGCATATAAATGATCCTTATATCCATAAGGATACATAAATATTCTCACTCATACGAATCCATGCAATTATTATGAGGTATATTTACAACCTTTAAGTAAAAAGGGATTGTTCTGTGTAACTATTACATGAAATAAGATTTTTCACTTTTTTCTTAACCATACAATAAAAAATCTGAATCACAAATTAGGCACTGGGGGACCATGCTAAAACCACTGTAAATATCGACTCTCTGCACATATTGAGTAGGCTCTGAATTGCTAACTTAAGAGAAAAATAATCACAGTGTTTTACATACAGGCAGTAATTTGGAAGTGTTAAAAAAAAGGACTTGATTCCATATTAAGCAGAGTTTTTAAATTGTGCTTTATGTTTGAGCAAAAGAAAAGAATATTTTCAAAAGATCCTGCACTTAAGCAATAATGACGTCTTATATCACTCTCTCCTCCTCGTAGGCCTCGCAGCGCAGATTATTTTATGCAAGAAGCTAAACGGATGAAACATAAAGCAGATGCAATGGTGAGACCTCTTTCTTTCCAGATACAGTCCTCCAAATTACGTTTGTACTGCAGCTTCATCACTGGGGCAATATAGCTGGGTAATTATAAAATCTATTACAGGGATGGCTGGGCCTGTTAAATGGAGAAATGTTTATATAATCAAGTGCTCATAGCCCAATAAATTATGACTTCAACCAATAATGTCTGACTGGGAGAAAGCCCTGGATAAATGAGTATTTCAATTTAACCCTAAGGTTTGAATAGTAACTAGAGCCAATAGAGTCAGTGGGTGGTAGTATTTTTTTGCTTTAAAAAAAAAATCCAGATTTGCATTTTCCTCTCTTGTTAGCTTGGCCAACGCTTGGCTTGGTCCCAGGATCAAATTTCTTTTCAAAAAGACTCATGTTCTTCATGTGCATCTGCTACAATGAATGCTTCCCCTGAACTATACAATGCAGAAACTATTATGTGCACATAAAACCCTAAAACCATCATGATTTGATGTTTTCAAAGAATAACTTTTCTTGCTTGAATACTCTCCTATTTTGGAAAGCTTGAAGCTTCCAGGCAAGAAATAGAAAACTTTTGGTTTTGTTTTTCTTTCTTTTTTTTTTTTAAGAGATCATAGGGTTGTTCCATCTTAAATGCTCATCCAAAAGGACCCCTTCCTACCTAGTAATTCCAGTTTTATTCCCCTCCAGTGTTCATAACTGACATCAACCAGAGTATTAAAGATGGAAAAGGCATTTTAAATGATTTTTCAAAGTATTATTCCAGTGTTGAAGGTATTTGAACTTTAAAAAGTCCCCCTCTCCCAGGGTATCAAGGTCACCCACCAAACATTTATTTGTACAAGGTCCACTGCCGAGGTACACTGGTGAACAGAGAAAATGTCCATTGAGTGTTGAAAAATAGAGAAATGGAAAGACAGTTCTTCCCCACAGAGTTCCACAATCTAATGGAGAGTTCCGGTCTTCCAAATAAACTGATGGCATGTCCCCTATTGGGAGACACATCAAACTTTTAAGCAGAATGTTTTAGTCAGCTTTTTCGCTGCTATGACTAAAAGACCTGACAAAAACATTTTAAGGAGGAAAAGTTTATTTGGGGGCTCACAGTTTCAGAGGTCTCAGTGCATAGACAGCTGGTTCCTTTCCTTGGGGCTCCAGATGAGGCAGAACGACATGGCGGAAGAGTGTGGCCGAGGGAAGCTGCTCACGTGATGATCAGGAAGCAGGGAGAGACTCCATTCACCAGATACAACATATACCCCAAAGTCATGCCCCCAAGGGACCTGCCTCCTCCAGACCCACCTTGGATTACCACTCAGTTAATCCCATCAGGGGGACTGAGTTACTGATGGGGTTAAGGCTCTCATAATGAAATCTTTTTTTTTTTTAATAATTTAGTCTCAGTTTAATTAAAGCTAGGAAACATATATTCCAAACTTTTTTTTAAAGGTTGCCTAGTAAGAAACCTCAACAGCCATACTGTGAAATAGTTTTTATCAGGCTTATTAGCCATAATCTTTTTTTTTTATTCTAATTAGTTATACATGACAGTAGAATGCCTTTTGACACAACCATTTGTCTGGTTGTGCATGATGTAGGTAATCATCTATGCACATGGGGTAATAATGTCCTGTTCATTCTACTCTCATTCCTACCCCCATGCCCCCTCCCCTCCCTTCACTCCCTTCTGTCTCATCCAAAGTCCCTCTACTCTTCCCTAGCCCCCACCTTATTGTGAGTCAGCATTGCATATCAGAGAAAACATTCAGCCTTTGGTTTTGGGGGATTGACTTATTTTGCTTAGCATGAGAGTCTGCAGTTCCATCCTCTGAACTTTCTTGCATTGTCTCACACGTGAGCTTTTGGGGGACACCTCACATCCAAACCATAACACAGAATGAGATTTTCTGCCTGTATCCATCCTCCGGGGTTCGCTGGCCTTGCTCATCAGTGTCATCTTGCCCCACCCTACCTTTTCTATTGACTATTTTCCAAGTAATACTGCCCCAGCCAGGCTTGTCCCCTGAAGCCTCTGAGCCCACCTGTTCTTGCCAGCCAGTGGGCATGTGCCCCTGCAGAGCTTCATGCTCACACACACGTACAAGCTCTCAGGCACCCTCAGCATCTCCCGTGTCCAGGCAAATCACACCATTCCTTCCCAGGCCTGTTTTTAGGTCTCCTCTTTGAAGCATCCTCAGCCTCTCCATAGCCCCATCACTCACCCGCTTCCATCCATCTCAGTGGTAGGGGACTCCTCCTCCTGCATTTTGTCAGTTAATCATGAACTGCTTTGCATATGGAACTGGTTTGTAGGTGCATGTTTTCTCTGTCCAGATGTACTGTGGGTTCCTGGAAGCAGCTTTGTGTATCAGGTACACATCCCCCAGAGCTGAGCGCTGTAGACCATGCTTACTGAATGAAATTATTTACTTACTCTGAAGGCATTGCCAAAAAAAAATGTTGCCTGTTTGGTTTTTTAAGCTGTTTAAAATTTTGATTTGCTAATGAGAAGCAGTTTTGCAATACAGTTCTGTTTTCCAAAGTATTGATTCTAGGGAGTTTTTGTTTCATTTTTGTAGCAAGACTTAGAATAATATGTATGTGTCATTCTTTGAATATTGGGGAGATGTTGTGATCCAGACAATATGTAATTATCTTCAGAGAGTAGCAATATATGGAACCAGGAACTCAATGTGTAAGTTTAATATATGAGAATTTCATAATAGAAAGCTGATTTGTGGCTATCCTTGTGGACATGGGGAAAGATTAACATACATGACTTCAGGTAATCCAAAAAATTATATTCAGTGTCAATTTTCAATTCATGTCCCATTTTGGTGAAGCTGAAATGGCGCCTTGAGTTTTATCTCTTCTCTTTTCCCTTCATCTTGCCCTTACATGAAGTCCTCACCATTAATAAAAAACACTTGAGAAGAGGAAGAGATGTAAATGTCATAAATAATATAAAAGATAATAACCAGTGCTTTGAACTGTCCAAGTTGCAGTGTGCAAAAGAAAGTGTGGTTCAAAGCTAGGCATGATGGCGCATGCCTATAAACCCAGCAACTCAGGAGGCTGAGACAGGAGGATCACAAGTCTGAGGCTAGCCTCAGCAAATCAGCAAAGACCTCAGCAATTTAGTGAGACACTGTCTCAAAATAAAAAATAAAAAGGAATAGGGATGTAGCTCAGTAGATGCTGCATAGCATGGAGGAATAGGAATGAAGTTGCCAACCCTTTAGAAAGAGACAGAGACCACAGCTGCCATGAAGTCCTGAGCTTTGTTGATTGGCAGCTGTCCCAAGCCTTTGCCATGCTATATGTGACCACATGCTCATTTCCCCAACCTAGTGGCAATTCGAGAAAACAAGTAGTACAGCAGTCTTCCCTTATCTGAAACCACAGATAATACCAACCTTTATATGTACTTGTTTTTCCTATATATTCACCCTATGATAAAGTTTAATTTCTAAATTAGGCACAGCGATTAGCTAATAATAAAATAGAATAATAGGCTATGATAAAAAAATTTAAGCTTATAAAATATCCACTTCTAGAATTTTCCTTTTAACATTTTTGGGCTGTGGTTGACCATGAGAAACTGAAACCATGGGAAACAAAATCGTGACTTCACGAGGGGACTACCGTCTCCTAGGTCTTTCTTCCCTCGGCTCCATTCACAGAATTCTGAAACTCACAAGTTAAAGTTTCTCAAGTAAAGCGTGTACACTGTGGGGCAACGGTGAGTGTCAGGCTCTCGTTAAGGGAGACGCTGTGCATTCTGTTGATCAGGTGGAGAAGTTTGGAAAGGCCCTGAACTATGCTGAAGCAGCCCTGTCGTTTATCGAGTGTGGAAACGCCATGGAACAAGGCCCGATGGAATCCAAGTCTCCTTACACCATGTACTCAGAGACTGTGGAGCTCATCAGGTGAGCCGTGATTTCCTGCCGGGGTAGGGAGGAGCCTGAGGGAGGACTAGATAGGCAGCCAAGAGCATCCGTCTGTCCACCGCACCTTCAGCCACTGGAACCCCTGGTTGGGAGGAAGCTAAGTCTCGATGAGCCCTGTTCTCGCCTAGGTTAGGAAAGAGTCTTAATTACAGTAGATGACTCTAGTTAACACTAAGGTATTACGTATTTCAAAACAGCTAAAGCAGCGGTTTTTGAATGCTCTCACTTTAGAGAAATAATAAATGCATGAGGTGGTGATATGCTCACTACCCACATGTGATCAATGTCCAATGTACCCATGTATCATACTGTCAAACTGTGCCCCACAAAGACGTAAAAACCGTCAGAAAGAGAAAGAAAATAGAATAATGTTGACCAGATTAGATCATGATAACATGTATGTACAAATACTAACAAATCCCACAATTATGTATAATTATAATGCACCAATTTAAAAAAAATGGGAAAAAAAGAAAAAGAAAAGAAAACCATACATTTGTGAATTTTTTAAAAATAATGCTGAAAATCCATTTGCCACTTAAATCTGCACCTTGTCCACCAAAACTGACATTCTTCTTCCCCACTGAGAACCACTGGGGGGCCAGGAGCTCTGGCAGGAGGTAGCTTACCACAAATGGGAGAATCCCTTCCTTCACCAGGGGACTGTGGGAAGCAGGCAATGATCCATGAAGGGCTGCCTCCAATAGAGTCCAGCCTGGGGAACCATCCCTCCCACTGGCCACCTCACCTCAGGAGCGCCACCAGGGACCAGCTGGGGCCCTAGGGCATACCAATATAGTACCAGCAAAGCTCTGAAAACTAAATTATAATTGGATCACAGCCCCCAAAGTAGCCCAAGGCTTGCCTGCTAAACCTCAGCAGGATAACTGCTAAAACAAGAGATTTAAATAGGATCCAGAATCTCCTAACATAATAGCCAAATGTCCAGGATACAGCAGAAACTCACCCGCCATACCAAGAACCAGGAAAATCATAACTGAAATGAAAACAGATCAGTTGACATCCATGTCACAATGAATCAGATGTTGGAATTAATTGGCGAGAATTCCCAAGCAGCCATCTTAAAAATTCTCCAGTAAACAATTACGTTTCTCTTGCCACAAACAGAAAGCAGAAAATCTTGTCGAAATTTTATTTAAAAAGAATCAAATAGAAATTATAGAACTGAAAAAATATAATAATAGAAAAAAAATCACTGGGTGGGCTCAATCACAAAGGAGAGATAAAGAATACAATCAGTGAACTTGAGGACAGAAAGTAGAATTTACCCAATCTGAGCAAGAGACGAATGAATAGAAAAAATTTTTTAAAAAGTGAAGAGGGCCTCAAGCACTGTGTTAGTCTAATTTCTGCTGCGCTAGCAAAATACCACAGACTGGAAAAATGATAAACAATAGAAGTTTGTTTGGCTCTAGAGGCTGAGAAGTCCAGGATCATTGTGTGGCATCCAGTGAGGGTCTCTGTGCTGCATTACCCCACGGGGGAAGGGCAAGGGAGCACAGGTAAAACAGGAAGGTGGCCTGAATTCCTCCTTTTTATCAGGATCCACTCCCTCAATAACTAACTCACCCAAAATGAATCCATTAGTGAAGGTTCTGCCTCCTGAGGTCCCACCACTGAATACTGCTAACTTGGGTAATTTCCAACATGTGACTTCTGTGGGCATATTCAAACCAAGTAAGCACAGTAACAGGAGATCCAACGTTTGTATCACTGGGGTCCCAGAAGGAGAGGAAAAGAGAGTAGGACTGAGATAGTGTTTGAAGAGGTGATGACTGAGCGTTGCCACGTTTGTCAAAAGACATCAACCTACAGATCCTGGCAGCCAAGGAAAACCCAAATAGGATAAGCCTGACAGAATGCAGGCCAGGACACATCGTGATTCTGTCCCTGAAAACTAAAGACAAGGAAATCGTGAAACCATCAGGGAGAAACAGCACATCAGCTGGGGGAGAACACCCGTTCAACTGACCGCCCACTTATCTGAAATCGGGGAGGCCAGAGGAGGTGATGTGACATTTTTTCAAGTGTGGAAAGAAAGGACGAAATATCAATCTGTGGATTCTAGATTCAGTGGAATATTCTTCAGGAGCGGAGGGAAATAAAGATATTATCAGACTCAGGAAAACAACAGTGTTTGTCTCTGACAGACCCCCTTAGCGATTGACTGCAGGACCTTCCTCAGCAGAGGAAGGAATCTGCACACATCAGGAAGGAGAAGAGAACAGAAATACAGACACGTGCAACCAACTGGCCTCCTTTCATAAATCTTGAAACAAAAATTATACCACCATCTGATTCTCAGGGTAATTATTTAGAAGTAAAGAAGATAACAACTTCCACACTCCACTCAAGGTGGTAAAATGTTGATACTGATGAATTCTGAGAAGCATGTGTAAGTGTATTGTCACACCCAAGAACAACCACTGCAAATGCTCTGCACAGAGACACACTCAGAAACCGACAGATCTGCACATCGAGGAGATGAGGCCATGATAACAGACTGCTTATTAACCCAGCAAGGCAGCCTGCTATGCCAAGAGCTTCCTAGAATGATCTGGGTTAATCCCCACACAAGGCTGTGTGATCACGGCACTAGTTCTGTTTTAGGTAAGGAAGTGAAGGCTTAGGGACATTAATACACTTAAGCTCTCACAACTAAGTAACTGAGCTGGGATTTGAACCTGGGACTCTCTGACCATTGCACACATTACCTCAGTTCTCTCAGAGAGTCTGCATAGGTGACCTGATATGTTACTGGGAGAAAGCAAAGGCCACAGTCCCCCTAGTTCAGAGAAGTGAATGGAATTGTTTCTCATAATGCACATAAATAGAAGCCAATGGAGATTAAAAATGTACCCAGATCATTTACACTGCCATCAAGGTAAGAGTCACATAACAAAGACGAAGGGGTCAATGGAGCACCCACCTGAGCACCAGGGGTGCAAATTCTCCTGGAGGTGAGCCCAGAAGCATTGAACCTCACCTCCAAGTGTCACCACTCAGCCATACGTCAACACTTGGATTAACGGGCGTGTTACCATATGCTTGACTAGTTCTTGAACTGCTACCCCTCCTGCCCATCTGCAGCATTTGAACTTGTATTGCTAAAAGCAAGAGTAGTGAGGCATCATAAGAAAGATTTTGTTCATTATATCACAGTGATGTGATGCTTGGGGGAAGAAGAGCAATGTCAGAAGGCTTTTAAGAAAGAATTATGAGCGGCACTGGGAAAATCTAAGTACTGGGTGGAAAGAACTAACAGCATAGAAGTTCTGTTATTACTAAGAGAGTTCTTTTTGTTTTATTCCTTTGCTTTCCCTCTCCCCACCCCCTTTTGCTTTTATTTTTGTTTTTGATTTTAGATATGCTATGAGACTAAAAACCCACTCGGGCCCCAATGCCACACCAGAGGACAAACAACTAGCTGCATTATGGTGAGTGCCTCATTGCAACCTAAAAGAGTGTCCTCAGCCCCCCAGGTCCTCATTGGCAAATCATGTGCTAAAATGCATGGTTTTTTCCTGGCACCTTTGAACATACAAAGCCCCATGCTGTTCTAACCGCCAGGGAGAATCCAGACCATTTCTTTTTGCTGTGCCATGCATGAACAGAATTCAGTCATTGAAAATCGACAGGTCAATTACACAAGGGTAATTTTTTTTTTCTCTGTGTGTGCATGTGTTTTAAAATCAGGTAGGTCCCTGCTTTAGTCATTTGAATGTACATGTGTCGAAAAGAGTTTCTCTTGTGTTTGATGCTTTAGATGCAATCAAAATAATTCATGTGTTGCTTTAGTGGCAGATCAGTCTGAATGAATAAAGACGGTGCTTAAAGCTCTCAACGCATTAAACTGAAGAGCGGCTCATTATACTTTGATAATAAAATCACGTCTTTCAAAATGTTAGCCAATATATAAAAGATTTTTTCTGTACTGATAATGATTACAATGATAACTATTATGTGATTATAATAGCTTTCTCCATGACATCTCCTCAGGACACCTCACCCCACTCCCCAGATCTCAGAACACCTCTCTGTTGGTTCTTCCTGTCAAAGGATCCAAATTTTTTTCTTCTTCAAAAGCTCATTCCACTCTAGAATCTAATCTACACATTAGAGACTCAAATGGAATCTCAAAAACCAGGACAGCAACATAGACAAAAGAGAGGGTCTCAGGTTGTTTCACTTCATCATATCATGTGGAGTTTGGGCTGTTAAGAGACTATTCAGGCTCTTGCGATTCTAGTACGTCAACATCAGATCTGAGTTAGCAAATGATTACTAGCAAAAAGCAATCAAGAAAGGATAAGTCCAGGAAACACTACCTGTGCCCTTTTCTTTACTAAAGTTCCATATTGGGATAAATAAATTGATGATAATTAATAACATTATCATATTAGATATAATACTTATATGTAAATAATAATTCAAATATTGGAGACAATATCAAATGATGTAAACTCTCAACAAAGTGTTTTTTGTTGTTCATGATTCACACTCATTATTTATATTATCTATTTAAGCTAAATATCGTGTAATAAAGTATTAAAAAGCAAAGGTAATAAAAACAGGTAGAAAAACTGACCTATTCACAAAGCCAGGGTAGCTCACCCAGGAAGCAGTGAAAGCTGTGGCTAGAGCTTCCTCACGCGGCTCATGGAGAGAGACTGCCCTCTCGTGGTAGAAGAAGGAAGCACCAGGCCCTGTTCCCACAAAGTGATAAATCTCATAGTCCAAAATAAGCTAAAGGTGAATATATTTATGGAGTACCACGTTGGAATTTTGAATTGTATTCTGGGGACAAAAAGAAGGTCAGGTCATGTACGTACATACAGAAACATCTTAGATACATAAGCATGGTGTAAATACCAAGTCACTTGGAATGGCATGACTTTGGTAAAGGCTTGTTTCTGAAGGACACACTCCTGTTCTGAAGGGCTCACTCCTCTCCTTCCGCTGCAGCTATCGATGCCTGGCTCTCCTGTACTGGCGGATGTTTCGGCTTAAAAGGGACCACGCTGTCAAGTATTCAAAAGCACTCATCGACTATTTCAAGGTACTGTCTGACAGATGAGCAGCTGCCTGCTTGTGTTCAGGTGCCTCCCTGTCAGGGGCACTTCAGAAAACCCTGGCAGCACCCACTGCTCTGGGGCTAGTACAGGTCACCTCTATCTCCAGAAATTGCATTTATGACACACTTGTGCCTGAAAGCTCAGAGAATGGGCTTTGAGAGCCTAGCTAATTTACCCCCTGCCTTCTTGCCCAAGTATTTTTGTGGCCTCAAGAAAAAGAATATCCAGTTATTCCTTCCAGGGTCCTAGGAAATAGATCTATAGAGCAGACATAAATTCCTCACATCCAAGAGAAGATTTCTTCTCTTAGAAGATTTCTTCTCTTAGAAGTAACTACTTCCAAGCCATTACCCCTTCGTTATTCTCTAGTAGCTAACTTAACTTTTAATGGAGGTGCTATTTAAAAGGGTAAGAGATGGATGATTAGAAACTCAGAGACACTAGATAGCAATGTGTAACTGTAAGGATTGAATTCTCAACCATGGCAACTTTCACTTACCTCGGGGAATGAAATTATTTTCACTGGGAGAATTTTTTTAGATGGCAAAAAATAACAACAAAAGTCCCTATCTGGTGTACTGTTGTAAAGTGAACTTGAAATTCATCATTTGTTTGAGATTCCTGGGCCTGTTCTCTGTTTATCCGCATAAATCCAGTATCCTGTCCCCAAGCCTTGTTTCAGCTACACCACCTTCCCTAAAAATCATTTATTCCCAACTTCCACTTCTCAGAGCTTGTCTGACCAGGTAATTCGGGGTCCCTTGGGATATTTTTAGCATGGTGCCTCCTTCCTGAGTGTGCAATTAGAATAACCAAGTTCAGAGCCAAGGAGATAACTTTCCTGGCCCTTTGGTGGGTTATAATGATGAGAACTGGCACAGAGCCTTCCCTTTACAAGATGGGTTGTTTTCCGAAATTCAGAATCTAAGAGCTAATACCAAAGAGAGTTGTTTCAATCAAGAAAAACAATGCTTGAAGAAATAAGGAAGTTGGCTGGGGCTGGGGCTCTGCGGTAGAGCACTTGCCTGGCATGTGTGAGGCACTGGGTCCGATTCTCTGCACCGGGTGTAAATAAATAAAATAAAGGTCTGTCAACAAGTAAAAAAGAAAATATTTTTTAAAAAAAGAAAGAAAAAGGGAAGCTGAATTCTGGAAGCCCAAGAGGGTTACAACCAGAACTTTTAAGGGACAACAGAAATAAAGAAGTTCTTAATTTACACATGCAGTCCAGGGGTACATAGAGAACAGGTAGAGAAAGGAACCTGAGCTTCAGACTTCTCCTTCAGGAGTTATTAGCATTTATCCTTCATCTGATCAACATTATTTAATATATTAAAAATATTAAATATTATTCATATTAAAAATGAATAAATTAGCCAGATGCGGTGGCACACACCTGTAATCCCAGCAGCTCAGGAGGCTGAGGCAGGAGGATCGCAAGTTCAAAGCCAGCCTCAGCAACTTAGCGAGGCCCTGAGCAACTTAGTGAGACCCTGTCTCAAAAGAAAAAATAAAGAAAGGGCTGGGGATGTAGCTCAGTGGTTAAGCACCCTAGGATCCATCCCTGGTACCAAAAAAAGAAGAATATATTAAAAATATTTGAATGTATTTTTAATCGGCCAAGGATTGATCCTATGTATTTCTGATGTGTATGATTTTTGATACATGCATACATTGCAGAATGATAAAATCAAGCTAATTAACACATCAATCACTTCATATACCTGTCATTTTTGTGATGGGAACTTCCAAAATCTACTCTGAGTGATTTTCAAGTGTACTAGACGTTATCTTTAATTTTAATCACAGTACATCTCCAGAATATGACCCTCCTCACTGAAACTTCGAATCCTTCCCTACCCTTTGTTAAGTACAAAGTTTCAAAACCTTCAGGTGACAGTGACAGTTCAGCTGTAGAGAATATGTTTTATTCATCCAGAACCGTCTCTGAAGGGGGACTTTGTTCCTGCCCATGTTTTTGCCATGGCGCTTCGGGGCTGAATGGGTTCAGCCATTCTTCCTGTTGGACACCCCCTTCTAGGTGGTTTCTCCCATCCCCAGGCCTCCCTCCCACTTTCCCCTTGGTGTTCTTATATCCAGAACACCCAGAACCATGTGGTGAAGTGAAACACCTTCTTGGGGCCCCGAGCACCCCACCGAGGAAGGTGCCAGTCACATCACGGCAGGAAGGGGAGATACTCCCTCCAAAGAAGGCAGTCCCTTCTCTAGTTCTCTCCATGAAAATGGAGTCATTTCCTGCGACAGGTAAAAGTGACTGGTTTGCAAGTCTGTCCTGTATTTGTACCTTGCTGTGGAGCCTGAGTCCTGGCGGGCCATTTCTGGCCATTTTGATAACTCCACACTGACACTAAAGAAACCAGCCACCACCTGGTAAAGTGCCTTCCGACCCAAAGAGATGCATCATCTGGGAGGAACCAGGCTGAGGATGTTTTCTTGTCTCTGAAAAGGAAAATTCACAAGAGCATCACAAAGATGAGGTTTCTTCGCCTTTAGTAGATTTCTCTCCAGGAAAACATTCTTGGGCCCTCAAAGGAAAAAAACTGTGCATTTAGCAACTTTCTTTGCCAAAGGGGAAATTTTTCTGTTTTGGTTTGTTTGTTTGGTTTTTGGTTTTTTGCAATACTGGGAATCAAACCCAGGGCCTCACATATGTGGGCAAGCACTCTACCACGGAGCTGCACCCCACCTAGAAAAAAAAAATTCTATTAGTGCATTATAGTTATACATATTATTAAGGGTGACTTTGACATAATTATACAAGCATTCAATATAATTTGTTTCAGTTTAGTCCTCAGTACTTCTTCTTTCCCTCCCCACCCGCCCCCACCATTCCCTTTCCTATATATACTGTCTTTCTTCTATTTATACTTTTTTAAATTAGTGCCTTATGGGGCTGGGGTTGTGGCTCAGTGGTAAAGGTCTCACCTGACACATGTGAGGAACTGGGTTCAATCCTCAGGACCACATAAATTTAAATAAATAAAATAAAGGTATTAAAAATTAGTGCTTTATGGATATATATAAAGGTGAAATTCAATATGGTATATTCAAATGTGGATATAGGAAAATTTGGTCAGATTCATTTCCTATTCCTCCCTTTTTAAATGTCTGATGCAAACACTTGGTTCCTGCAGCAGTAACATCTTAAATCAGAATATCCAAATCATTCAGAGCTTTTGAATGTCTTATCTGTTAAGAAACTATATTTTCATCTGTTCTTTTTGGAGTATTTAAGATTAGATTCCTTTAAGAGAAATGCTTTTAAACTTTATAAGCTATGATGCAAGAATTTGATGACATCTACTTTCAGGCATTAGGTGCATAACAACAGTTCTTGCAAATAACTCCTAAATTTAAATATAGGGTATGCTCAGGAGGGGTTGGGGAGCTTTCCTGCTCTTTTATTTCCTTTTCAGAAAAATTAGAGTAATTTATGATGAGAACAATCAGAACTGTTCAGACCCAAAGACCCCCAGGATTGTCATTTAATTTGATACCTAAAGTTTGTACATAGAAGCCCAGGGGTGAGCCCTTCAGTTACCCCACTTTGGAGCCCCACAGTCCAGGCAGTGGCCCCTCCTCAGCTCCAGAGAGGGAGCCAGCAGCCTTATTTCCCAGACCCAGTTTCTAAGAATCTGCATCTTTTCTGTGGTGCCTTCTGTGATTTCTCCCCACCGTCACCTGAGAACGTGTTATGGTCTTCTGTTTACCCTTAAGCAGATGGAACTCACTGTCCTTGTCTCTGTTTTCCTGCAGAATTCATCCAAAGCTGCCCAAGCCCCGTCTCCGTGGGGGGCCAGTGGAAAGTAAGTTCACTTTTCCCAAATGCAGTAAGCCAGGCGGTGAGTGCATGGTGCTTTCTGTGCCCTGATGGGCTGCCCCGCCTCGCCTGCTCCCGACCTCTCCACTCTGGTTTTTCTACCTCTCCCATTCCAGGAGCACTGGAACCCCATCCCCCATGTCTCCCAACCCCTCTCCCACCAGCTCCGTGGGGTCTCAGGGCAGCCTCTCCAGTACCAACGCCCTGTCCCCATCGACCATCGTCAGCATCCCGCAGCGCATCCATCAGATGGCGGCCAATCATGTCAGCATCACCAACAGCATCCTGCACAGCTACGACTACTGGGAGATGGCGGACAACCTGGCCAAAGAAAACAGAGGTGTGCATACTGCCCCCAGGGTGTGGGGACCTGCCGAGGCTGGGGAGAGCCAGACCTGGGGATCACTGCGCAACTTTACGTGGCCTTTCAAAGAAACAGAAGCTGTCGTCTGCTGTGTGATACCTTTCCTGATCTCTCCTCTCACTCAGAGCCTTGAGTGTCTTTATTTACCTTTATCCTTTCTGTGGAAGATGGTGTCACATACATCAGATACAGATACAGGTGCAGGTGCAGATAAAGGTGCAGAAACAGATACAGGCATAAATACAGGTATAAATACAGATACAGGTGAAGGTACAGATACAAGTGTAGGTACAGATACAAGTGTAGGTAAAGATACAGGTGCAGGTACACATACAGGTGTAGGTACAGTTACAGGTGTAGAAATAGGTATAAGTACAGGTTCAGATACAGGTATAGGTACATATACAGGCATAGATACTGGTATAAGTACAGATACAAGTGTATGTACAGATACAGGTATAGGTACAGATATAGGCATAGATACAGGTATAAGTACAGGTATGAGTACAGATACAGGTGCAGGTACAGATACAGGTATAAGTACAGGTATGAGTACAGATATAGGTGCAGGTACAGATACAGGTGTAGATACAGGTATAAGTACAGATACTGGTGCAAGTACAGATACAGGTATGGGTACAGATACAATTGTAGGTACAGATACAAGTATAGATACAGATACAGGTGCAGATAAAAGTGCAGGTACAGATACAAGCATAGATACAGGTATAAATACAGATACAGGTGAAGGCACAGATACAAGTGTAGGTACAGATACAGGTGCAGGTACAGATACAGGTGTAGAAATAGGTATAAGTACAGGTACAGATACAGGTGCAGGTACAGATACAGGTGTAGGCATAGATACAGGCATAGGTACAGATACAGGTGTAAAAATAGGTATAAGTACAGGTGCAGATACAAATACAGGTGTACTTACAGATACAGGTGCAGTTACAGATACAGGCATAGATACAGGTATAAATACAGATACAGGTGAAGGTACAGATACAGGTGTAGGTACAGATACAGGTATAGAAATAGGTATAAGTACAGGTGCAGATATAGGTATAAGTATAGATAACAGGTGTAGATACTGGTATAGGTACAGGTGCAGGTACAGATACAGATATAAGTGCAGATATAGGCATAGATACAGGCATAAGTACAGATACAGGCATAGAAACAGGTCCAGGTGTAGATACTGGTATAAGTACAGATACAGGTGCAGGTACAGATACAAGTATAGGTGCAGATATAGGCATAGATACAGGTATAAGTACAGATATAGGCATAGGTACAGGTACAGATACAGGTATAGGTTCAGATACAGGTATAATTACAGGTATGAGTACAGATACAGGTGCAGGTACAGATACAGGCGTAGATACAGGTATGAGTACAGATACAGGCATAGATACAGGTGGAGGTACAGATATAGGCATAGGTTCAGGTATAAATACAGATACAGATGGAGGTACAGATTCAGGCATAAATACACGTATAAGTACAGATACAGACATAGATACAGGTGCAGGTACAGATACTGGTGCAAGTACAGATACAGGTATGGGTACAGATACATTTGTAGGTACAGATACAGGTATGGGTACAGATACATTTGTAGGTACAGATACAGGTATAGGTACAGATATATAGATACAGGTATAAGTACAGATACAGGTAAGGTATAGATGCAGGTATAAGTACAAATACTGGTGCAAGTACAGATACAGGTATAGGTACAGATACAATTGTAGGTACAGATATGCATATAGGTACAAATACAGGTACAGGTACAGATACAGGTGTAGAAACAGGTATAAGTATAGATACTGGTACAAGTACAGGTATAAGTACTGATACATGTGCAGGTACAGGTATAAGTACTGATTCAGGCATAGGTTAGGTACAGATACAGATGCAAATACAAGTGTAGATATAGTACAGATACAGGTATAGGTACAGATACAGGAGTAGATACAGGTATAGGTGTAGACATAGTCAGAAGTACAAATACAAATATAGGTACAGATATAGGAATAAAAATATATATACATTTTTCCCATTAGACAATAAACAGCTACATGAAGGTAAAGACTATATTTCATTCGGCCAGAGGCTGAGGCAGGAGGATCACAAGTTCAAAGCCAGCTTCAGCAATTTAGCAAGACCCTAAGCAACTTAGTGAAACCCTGTCTCAAAATAAAAAATAAAAAAGGCTAGAGATACAAAAAAAAAAAGAAAAATCAAAAGAAATAATATATATATATATATATATATATATATATATATATATATATATTTCATTAAAATTTGGACTCCTGAGACCCAGCCCAGTGCCTGAGACCCAATTGGAGCTCTGAAATATCGACTGAATGAGTGAATGAATGAATGAATTAGGGTTAGTGCTAGCTCCCTAAGTGCCTGCTGCTGACAATTGAAAAGAGAACCCATTTTACGTGGAGTGGTAAAAGCTGAATTTTTAAATAATTTTTTTTCTGATAATAACAATCATGCATGTTTTCTGTGACTAAATTCGTGAAGCATAATAAACCATAAAGAAAAAAAGTTCTTAAGTCATCAGTAATCTTAGAAATGACTGATAAGTAAATAAAACATTCTACCAAGTTTCTTTTAGCCTTTCTTCCCAAATATGCATTATTTTTACCAAAGTAAAACCATAGTGAATATAGTTTTAAATCCTTTTTTCACTTAACATTATAGCAAGCATTTTCTCATGTCATTAATTTGCCAAAAAACTCTCTTTGTAATCGTACTGTAATGCTACCATAACATGTTGGGTATATGATCACAAAACTTGATATTGTGATATTTGTTATCACAGTGTTAGATATTTAGGTTTACTTCTAATTTTTTTTCCCACTTTTGGTAGAAAACACTCCCAATGTTTTTCCATATCCTGATAAGTATTTCTATAGAAGTCATTATCCATATTTCTGGTTATTTTCTTTGGGAGAATAAAATAAAAATAGAAGTAGAAATTTGGGGTCCACGGGTACAGATTATTTTAAGATAACATATATCGTTTTATATCTTAATATATATTGTTACCTTTTCTCCTGAAAAATTGTATCAAGTTACTACTCTCCCCCCAGCAACAGGTAAGAGTACAAACCTGAGTTCACTTTCAGGCCCCTGAATGAAAATTATGTCTCTATGACAGCATAAATCTTTGAGGTCAAGAGCAGCATGTCCACAGTGAAATGAGGAATGGATGAGTCACTAGTGCAGGAAATTGTTAATAAAACCAGATGGTCTATAACATGCAGCCAAGCTGGTGCCCCTGGGAGTGAGTCCAGTAGGAATGTCATGGTGGTCAAAGGCCACCAGGAGCAGCTCATTAGAGGAGCTAGAATGGAACAGGGTTTTGAAGAATACATATCACTTGCATGGCTGAAGTGGGTTGAGGTGGGTTTCCCAGGAAGACAAACAGGAGGGATAAATATGTAGAAATATGTATGTCCAGCCGGGCACAGTAACGCACATCAATAATTCCAGTAGCTCTGGAGGCTGAGACAGGAGGACCATGAGTTCAAAGCCAGCCTCGGCAAAAGCAAGGCTCTAAGCAACTCAGTTAGCGCCTGTCTCTAAATTAAAAATACAAGATAAGGCTAGGGATATGGCTCAAAATATACATGCCCACTTTGGAAAACCCTGAGTGAGCCAGGTTCTAGATGGCAATACAAGCCATCCTCAGCACCACATAAAAGTAAATAAATAAAATAAAGGTTAAGGGCTGGGGATGTGGCTCGAGCAGTAACGTGCTCGCCTGGCATGCGCGGGGGCGCTGGGTTCGATCCTCAGTGCCACATAAGATAAAATAAAGATGTGTCCACTGAAAACTAAAAAATCAATATTATAAAAAAACTTCTCTCTCTCTCAAAAATTAAAAAATGAAAAATAAAAATTAAAAAAATTCAGGTAAAAAAAAGAATGCTTTAAAAAAAAAAAAGAAAAAGAAATAGTAGACGTAGTTTATTTATTTGGGTATAGAATGAGTCCCCCACCCTTGGATCTTATTTTGTTCAAGGGTATGCAGAAGTCACAAGATGGAGCAGGAGATCTGTGATTTTGTTGGACCATAATAGTCCTGAGGATGAAGTAGCACACCTAGCCTGTGTGGCACACTTAACCACTCTCTCTGTCCCCTAGAATTCTTTAATGACCTGGATCTGCTCATGGGGCCTGTCACCCTGCACAGCAGCATGGAGCACCTGGTCCAGTACTCGCAGCAGGGCCTGCACTGGCTACGGAACAGCGCCCACCTGCCATAGGGACCTCACCCTGGAGCCCGGCTGTGCTCTCATCTCCAAGATGGCTCCATGTTTCTGGACACTGTGCTGCTGAAATTCCCAGCCACAGCATTTATCAAGCTGCATTGAACACTTCCTTTGCATCAAGCAATGATCTTTTCCCAGGGCATGTGTGTATTTACGTGTGGGTGTATAAGAAGCTGCCTGTGTACGTAAGATACACAGTGCTTCAGAACACATATTCTTTGTCTGGTTTCCATAATCCCAGGCTAGACAATGTGATCAGGAGTTCCTGGTTAGAGGAACTACACATACACAAACACACACACACACACACACACACACACAATCACACACACTTCCTTTTCCAATTGCTAAATCATGACTTCTCCAAAACTTCAACCAAAATCTGATGGGTTAGTTCACCAGGTGCAATACAGCACACCAAAAGCTTAACTGCCAGTGAAGATGAACCTGACTCTTATATTATTGATTACTTTCAGTATTAATATGCTGTTTCCCAATTATTTTTGATGGGTGTGTATTAACGGGTAATTGAATAATGAAAACAAGTCAGTTATTTTTGTGCCAGAAGTTTACTAGATTGCATGTTACCAAATCCCCTGCCCTTCCTCTAATACCCCCTTCAACATTATTATCAACCAAACACATCGTAAGCAAAGGGATGGATTCACACAGCCTTCCCTGACGCCCCATGTTATGACAGCGGCACTGGGATTCAGTGACAACTCAGTGTCTTTAAAAATCCACACACACGGGAGCAACAGCCACTGTGCTTTGGAGCTGGGCTGGGAATTTAAATGTGCACTGTGACAACAAGCCCTCCAGGCACGTGCATTTCTTCCTCCTGCCACTGTGACTTGGTGGCTGTAGAGCCATGTGGCTTTTGTCAGCCAGAACATTTCAAGTCTTTTCTTTCCACGGTAGCTTTCTTGCAAAATTTCTTGGCCAAATGGGGACATTGCCTAGAACGTCCCTTCTCTAAGAGTCCATCTGCTGCCTATCAGACTGAGAGCTCTCAGCTGTCCTAAGGCGGTCTGATTCTCTCTGTGCAGAATGGGCCACCGCTGGCCTTGGCTGCGTTTTGATTTGGGGGATATTTTTAATCAGGCTTTGATTAGCAAGCTGCTTCCCGTGCGAGGGAACTTATTCCTGCACCGATTGCCATTCTGTCTGAGGTAGCACTGCCCAAAGCGTCTTGCTTACGTCTTGTGCATCTAGTATGTTTACGTCTTGCCTATGGCTCTTCTTTTCTTTCTTTCTTTTTTTTTCTTTAATTAAGTTTACATTTTAGTTTTTTGACATCTTGTTTACAGTGTTTTTTTTTTGTCTGAATTTTGTTTGGTAGTATTTTTGTCATGTCCTAGATTTAGTCTTCTTGTTAAATATATTTGGATATGAAATACTGGTAAACAGAAAATGACTCCTCAAAGTTAGGGTCTGTCTTGCCACCCTTTAACCACAAAGAGGATGTCCTTGAGGCCCCTTACTTGACAGAATTGCACCAGGACAGTCTGAGAAAGACAGGTGTTGCAATCTATGAAACAGTCCCTTGTTCAAGGTGATGGTGGCACCCATATGCTAAGACTGATATTTTTGCAGGTTTGGTTGCAGTGATAACATTTTGTTAGCTTGGTCTTATGGTGGGTGGGAAATAAGATATCTACAATTTCTATGTTCTAAGCCATTGATGCAAAACTGGACAAGAGATTGACCAACTTTGGTGATTTGAATTAATTGACAGTGAGCAAGTGAAGCGCCTGTGAAGTTTGCATTTGACTTTGACCTTCAAGCACCTGAAAAATACTAACAGTTCAGGTTGAGCATTCCTCCTCCAAAATGCATGGGACCAGAGTGTTTTAGATTTCAGGTTTTTGAATATTCACATACACACAATGAGATATCTTAGGGAGGGGACCCAAATCTAAACTGAGATTCATTTATGTTTCATGTACTCCTCAGACATACAGCCCAAAGGGGATTTTATACACATTACCCGAAGGATATATTTTTAGTATACTTGTGTTTTGACTGAGACCTGTCACAGGAGGTCAGTGTGGAATTTTCCATTTATGACGTCATAGGGACATTCAAAATATTTTAGACTTTGGAGCATTTTGAATTTTGGATTTTTGTATGAGGGATTCTCAGCCTGAATTTTCATCTTACATTTAATTTACCCAAGTGAAGTTCTTCTTAAATCCCTTTCACTAATTGTTGGCAGAGTTCATGGTCCCATCTTTGGCTGGATTTTTTATTTTGGTACCAGGGATTGAACCTAAGGGTGCTATACCACTGAACCACATCCCCAGCCTGTTTTTTCCTTTTCCTTTATTCTTTTTTTTTTTTTCTTTCTTTGAGACAGAGTCTCACTAAGTTGCTCAGAGCCTTGCTAAGTTGCTGAGGCTGGCTTTGAACTTGCAATCCTCCTGCCTCAGCCTCCTGAGTTGCTGGGGTTACAGGCATGCACCACCACTCCCAGCTGGAAACTTTAATCCAAAGAAATATCTGATCTTTTTTTTTTTTTTTAATTCTACTTACTTTGAGTGAATGCAGATGAAAAGTTTAAACTTTTACATAAAGTGGCCCTTGGTATCTGCCGTGCATCCCCAGGGAGCTTTCTTGCTCCTGCCTGGCTTTAAAGTTGCAGGCTTTATGGAGGCACCTCTGAGATGTGCTTCCCTGAGAAGCCCAAAAGGTGACCTCTGGGTGGTTGAGCTAGCACACGTTCAAGCAGCAGGGTGATGATCCACACATTTCTCATCAACACTTCTAGAACCTGATCATTTGGGGAGATGGTCAGAGCATTCAGGTCCTATCAGTGTCTCTCTTTCCATCTACAGAGTGTGTCAGGCAGCAGTTCCTATTGGGTTTGGAATAGCTGATTTTGTTAAGGACCCCTCTTCTAATTGTTACTTCTGAAATCATTCATAACTTGTTCTTTTTCCCTAGTCTGGTTCCAAGTTGAAGCATCTTTCTTGTATTTTCTGATTATAAATGTGGTACCTGTTCATTGTAAATATTGAGACGGGTGTGGTGGCGCACACTTGTAATCCCAGCAGCTCAGAAGGCTGAGACAGGAGAATAGTGAGTTCAGAGCCAGCCTCAGCAACAGAGAGGTGCTAAGCAACTCAGTGAGACCTTATTAAAACCCAAATAGGGCTGGGATGTGGCTCAATGATTGTTGAGTGCCCCGAGTTCAATCCCCTGTATCCCAAATAAAAAAAAATTGAAACAATGCAAAAAAGTAGAAACTAGTGTCAGTCTCTGATTGTCTCAACCCCCTGAGACAACCATGGTTCATGGTTCGATGTCTATCCTTCCAGAGAGTCTTGTGTTTAAACATATAATGTTTTTTAACCTTTCTTTCTATTTGAAGACACGTTCTTTCCTCAGAAGTTCAACACAGGTTCGACTGACCTTGTCCGCCATGACCTGAATGGGTGCCACCCTTTTATCACAATGTTAGAACTGTCTTTGAGAGAGAGCAGCCCAATTATTTTCCTGATCAGACTTTGGCATTAGTTAATACTCTACACAGATCAGACTCATGTGCAGAATTGTGCCTGGAGGGAGAGATTTGGTTAAAACAGATATTTCTGGAAACTTTCAAATTTGCAAATGGAAACTTGGACCCACTATCTAAAAAAGAATGTACTGGAAAAATAATCTGAAGAGTTGACAAATTGTGTGCTAGATTGAACACATGGAATGCAATGCAATGAGATTTTTTTCTGCACCAAAACCTGTACAACAATGATGTGTGTATTATATAACAGTGATGTGTACATTTCTGACACCCCATACATAATATGCACAGTTTGTATAAATGCATACATTTAAAAATATATATGTACAATACAGCTAACATAAAACTGTAGTACGCCTGACGAATATTACTAGTGCCTAACATGGAGTATAAGTCACTGCGTGTTCAAATCACCTTGGAAGTGCAGTCATTGTTATAAAAATAATCAGTGAAGCCAACGTTATTTATGAACCACATCTTTGAAACTGTGCAGTAGCATATACATATATATTTTTAAATGACATTTTTCACAGTTTTCCAGAGTTACTGTTGAAATCTGTATCACCAAAAGAAAAAAAAAATGGCAAGATTTTTTTTAATGATGTAGACACTCTTCAGACCCAGTAATCTGCGTGTGATTTCCTGTTTGTAGATACCCAAGAGACTTCAGCGGTCACCAGCCTTAATGCATGTACAGGATATTATTGTGACTTAATTTATCTGCAGTTTTTAATCCATGTGAAATTGGAATTTATAAACGGACTTGGATTAAATATGTCTGCCTTTCTAAGGTTGCAAACGTTACATTAAATGATTTATGTTGTAAATGAGAGAAATCGAGTTGTACGAGAAAAATGTCCACCAGTTTCTGTGAATATGTTTACAAAACATATTGAAAGATGTTCACATCAGAGGTATGGTTCCCAGCTCATCATCTCTTTAGAAGCGGCCTTGTTTCCTGAATGTTCTCAGCATGGCTTCCATGGATTATCATTGCTAAGTCTGATAATTTTTCACAGAAAAAAAAGTATGTTTTTTTCTTTCATTATGACTATAGTTTACTACCTGTCTTTCCCATGTCCCAACACTCGTGCGCGCGCGCGCACACACACACACACACACACACACACACAGGTGAACATCTTCCAGTGTCCCAGGGAACAGTATCTGAGAGGCTACAGAAACTGATTTGTGATTTCCTGGGTGCCTGTCCAGGAGCAGCCCTGGGACACTGTGCTACCAACATTTTTTAACATCACAAGCCAATTCCTAGCTCATGTGCCAGCCTTTTCCAGTTCAAACCAACATGGGGACTCATGTGAGAAATACTTGGTCGAGAGAATTAGGAACTAAAGACAAGGAAAATGTTAGTTAGACCCATGGCCTTACATGATACTGCCCCTGTGTGGGACGGTTGTTTTTGTTTTGTTTTGTTTGGGGCATTTTTGCTTTTTTTTTTTTTTAATTTGGTATTAAGGACTGAATCCAGAGGCATATTACCAGTGAGCTACATCCCTACTCCTTTTTATTTTTTTATTTTGAGACATGGTCTCTCTAAGTTGCCCAGGCAGGCCTCAAACTTTCGATCCTCCTGCCACTGCATCCAGATGGGAGGAGGTTTTTGGTAGCCAAAGTTTCACTCTTACCTCCCTTCCTTCTTCTTCTCCTTCTCCCCAAACTAAAGAAGCAGAATAACAATGAAAACAAAATGAAATGTCAGCATATCCAACCCATATCCTTAGAATCAAATACCCCTTATCCTTTGCCCCTCACCCCATCTTACACAATTCACAGTTCACGTGAGTCCTCACCACCAAGCAGAGGGGTCACCTTGATCTTGGTTGCCAAGGAGACAGCCCCTCACCCCAAAGATGACCACTGAGCCTAATACACTTTCAAAGGTGGACTAAGAAATACCTGGAAAGCTTCCAAACAAGACCGTCTCTTAAGGCAGCTTTGCCTGATACACCACTGAAGTCCATGTATTCACGATCAGAACTGTATTTTTTTAAAGTATCACATTTTCAACGAAACTCAGACCAACTGAAGTTTTGGAAGATATTTTTTTTTAGTATAAGAAAAACAACAACAGGGGCTGGTGTTGTAGCTCAGTGGTAGAGTGTGCTTGCCTCGCATGCGTGAGGCCCTGGGTTTGATCCTCAGCACCACATTAAAAAAATAAATAAAAATAAAGATATTGTGTCCATCCACAACTAAAAAAAAATTTAAAAGAAAAAGTAAAGAAAAGAAAAACAACAATCACATGAACTGTATTTCCAACCATTAGAGTTTATTTCCACTCCCGGGAGAGCACACCTTGGCAAATAGCACAAGAAATGTTCAAATTGGAGATTCGTGTTCTTAGTCCAAATTATCCTGTGTTTATGTCCTCAGAAGGGGTTAATTCACAAACTTGGCATGAGGACATTTGAAAACTGTTCTCAAACTAATTACATCTGACCACAGTTTGGGTGTTTTATTATTTAATTGGCACTGTGAGGCAGCAGGGGATAAATTTGGGGTCAGCTACAGGGGGAGTTAGATTCACAGCTCTTACAGTAATGAGAATCAAGGGATTAAACCCCTATGCAGCACTTAGCAAATCCACCTCTTACAGCCAATTTTAAAGACATCGATCTGGAGAATGCATGTGGAAAGCTAATTGCCACGCGCACACGGAGCTCAGCATTTGTCTCTGAGTATCGATGAGGCCTGGAAAGCTGAGTCAAGTCCTTGCTCTTACTCACTTTTAAAATGGGAAAAGCTCGTTGAGAAATATTTAGATCCAGACACGAGGTAAAATAGCACTCATGTTTAGGATCTTCTCACAGTGCTGTTTGGCTATAAAAATCATTACAAAATTCTAGTCTCCTTATTTCTTTTCAGTGCTTTTTTCCTAGTCTTTTCTATTATTATTATTATTCTATTTTTTTTCCTGCTCTTTTTAAACCTTTATTTTATTTATTTATTTTTATGTGGTGCTGAGGATTGAACCCAGGGCCTCACGTGTGCTAGGGAAGTTCTCCAACACTGAGCTGCGGCCCCAGCCCCTGATCTCTTTATTTCTAGATACCCAAACAAGTGAAGAAAATAAAATCCTTAATACCGAGGAATGTGTATTTTCCGGAGCAACATTCCATCCACAGTAGCCAAAGGTGTTGGACTTTTTGAAGAACATTCTTTGAGTCCCCACTGTTGCCTTCGTCTGATGACATCAGTGCCCAAGGTCTGGACGTGTAGTTGAGATGCCAATGATTCTGAGGACAGAGACTTTCAGATCATTGCCAGCCACGGCTGGGGCCTGTTTCCATGGGTGAAGTAGCCATACCGATGCTTTGCTTTGAGTAGTTTGCAAACTGATTATTCATCCCCTGAATTTCCCAGGGCTTCCAGCTCAACCCTAAAATGGCCCTCTGGGTGAGCTGAGTTGTGGGGTTTGTTTTTGTTGTTGTTGTTGTTCCTTTGTTTTTTTCCTTCTGTAAATCAGATTTAGCATTTCAACCCTTTAGTAGAACAAAGCTTCGGTATAGGAGCTCACTGATGTTGGGGACGAGCCGTGGGAACTCTCACAGGGTGCCCGCTCCCCTCCTTGAACCTGCTGCACCTGACCCTGAAAGAGAGCCCCTTACTTTCCTCTATGAAGTCTAACTCAAAACTACCTCACTGAGCAAGTGTGAGGATGAGAAGCCTCAGGCAAGCATTTTGGGAACCCCTGTTGCCACACTCATCAGGGTCTCAGGGTCAGGTAAGAACAGAAGCAAAGCATCCACTCTGTGCGCGCGCAGGCAGCAGCACGCACAGGTGTACAAGGGGGGAGGCGGGACTTCCTCAGAGGCTCTAGATCTGACAGCAAGGTAGCAAGAAGGGTGACAGGAACAGCCAGGGCAGATGATGGAGGGGGGGCTCCTCCACCCACATTGTCACCACTTGCAGTTCTTCCAGGCTGAAGACAGCACTCTAATAGACCAATGGGGGTGGGGCAGCAGGGTACCCCTAATGGGTTCAGGTTCCTATTCCTTCCTCATCCAGCCCTGGCCTTAAAAAACCAGGAAGCACCCAGGTGGAAGAGGTCCAAGTCACCACTGGGTCCAAGACACTAGAGTCTGCCATCTTCCTTGCCTACTTTGTGCCACACATCAGTCATCCCTGTAGAGCTAGAGGTCCATGGCAGTCTCGACCCCCGTGCTCCCGTGGGTTCCTTTGGAAGCCGTGAACCCTGTGTTTCTGATGCTATATTTTTTTGTGGGGGAAGGGGACAGGGGTGGAAGACAGCTGCTCTGGGAGTTTGTCCCCGAGAAAGGAGAGCTGTCCTAAGGGATTTGGTGTGTCATGCGTGAGCTTCGAGAAAGAGGAAACCTCTCTTGGGAACCGGATGATTTTTTTTTTCCTCTAGGGGTTTAGGCAACTTGCTTCAACATAATCTCTTAATTGTAGGCAAAACCCTAGTCAGAACACCAGGGGAGAGGATCTGCGACAACCTAAGAACTCATCAATTTTTGTGACACCAAACTGGACACTGAATATTCCAATGCAGCCAATGAGCTGGATGTCTCATACAGCGAGGGTCAAAGCCCTAAATGGTCAATTGATTTTTTTTTCTTCTCTAATATGTTTATTATTTAGACACAGGCCAATGTGTCTTCCATGTAGCTCTAAATCAGTGCTTTGAGCTTAACCAAAATAATGGTGAAATATGCATTTGAAGGAGCTCTTCCTTTCATACTCCCTGGAAATCCCTCTCCCAGCCTTTCTCTGGGAAAAAAAGAACAAAGGCCAGAAAGTCCAAGAAATCCAGCCTTATTTAAGCCCAAATCAATATTAACATTCTTTCCGCAGGAGCACAAGACCTTGCCTGGTATGAATACTGTGTATTAAGGTGAAAAAAAATTCACACTCATTAGCAGAAGAAGATACACCAACTGGACCCCTGGGCATCATCTTTTCTCAAGCAGGACATTCAGAAACAAATTCTCCCATTGCAGCATAAGTTACTTGTTTTTCTGTAAAAATTTAGTCACTCCCATGATTTGCCTCAGTCAGTGAAAGAATTTAAAATCCACCATTTTTCATATGCTATGTCATCTGGGAGGTTTATTGATGGAGCTGGCAACCCTAATTCAGTATCCCAATATCCAAGGCCTTGTGTGTCATATCAAAAGACACTCCAAATTCTGCACCATGGTCTTGGGAAAGCTGTCAGCAACTTGGGAGACTTATCTCCTAGGGGACTTTGCCAGTGACACAGCTTCAGCAGCCCCTGAAACAAATTATAGTGACTTCTCCTTCTCCTATGGCAACAGGCCTGAGCTGAGGAAGATCCTAATAGGACAATTCTGTAGTTATTTCAAATTTGAAAATGTACATATCATAGCATGCATGAAAATGCTGAATTAGGTCCAATACCATTTCCATATTTAGTCTAGTTACTCTTTATTAAATAGCTCAGGTTCATTTGGGTTATGTGGTACTCCTCAGGGGCTTCTTGTTAGAGCATTTGGAAACTGTTAGGACAAAGTCCAGGACCTGTGTTGACAGTCACTCTTTTAATCCAAGTAGCAATAATGGTTCCCATGAAGCATCAACATCACTACCGATGAAGTTGTATGCCCTTATCTGTGATTTGGGTACATGACAAAAATCTTAACCCAAGCAATTAATAAAGACCAGCACCTGGGTTCAATCCTCAATACCAAAAAAAAAAAAAAAAAAATCAGTGGCTTTAGTAAGGATCACTTCCTTCCAAAAATTCATGAACGCTTTCTCAAAAAAAAAATTCTAGTGGATCCCTGT